CACGTCGTCGAGCAGATTCGACGACGGAACACTTAATGTTAGTGTTTCTACCGTGGGATCACCCCTACTGTTGTGTTGAGCAGTCGGCTCGAAATCGAAACGACGCGAAAGAGCATCAGCGACGACATTAAGTCGTCCTGGTTTATACTCGAAGGAGAAGTTGTACTCTGCGAAGAAAGACAGCCACCTCGCCATTCGTTGCAAGGGGCGTGGAATGTTTACGGCCGTGCGTAACGACGCATGGTCGGTAAAAACGATGAAGGGCCTATCTCCTAAGAGATATACCCGAAGCTTGGCCAGTGCATATTTCGTGGCAAGGAGTTCCTTGTCATGAACCGGATAATTTCTCTCAGTTGCTTGCAGCTACCGCGATTGATAACAAACGACGCGCTCAACGCCGTCTGCGTCGTACTGCATTAACGCTCTGCCGATTGCAAAATCTCTGGTGTCACAGAACACATGGAATGGTCTATCCTAGTCTGCATTCGCCAACAAAGTCGTTTGCACCAAGCTTTTCTTGATGTCTTCAAAAGAGTGCTGACACTCAGCGCTCCATGACTACCTCTTGTTTTTCTTTAGTAGACGAGAGAGATGTATGGTCATCTCGGCGTAGTTGCGCGAGTACTTGCGCAAGTACGCCGTTAAGCCAAGGAACCTCCGAAGTCCCTAGACGTCGACTGGCACATGCCAGTCGCTAACCGCCTGAATCTTTTCCGGATCAGGGCGTACACCGTTTTTACCCGCGATGCAGCCAAGAAGTGGTATTTCGTTCGCTGCAAATCTACACTTCTTGAGGTTTGCGAACAACTCATGCTCTCGCATTAGTGTAAGAATCTTCCGGACGTGGAATCTATGAAACTCCACGTCCGTCTTTCCATCCATAGCCCGGCTATGGACGAAGCCATCGTCGAAATAACTTGGTGCGAAGTCGCGCACCGATCGCAACAGATTCGTCACAAATCTGTTGAAGGCTGCGGGGGCGTTACTTAGCCCCTGTGGCATTACTAGCCACTCCGAGAGCATACCACTGGGGGTGCGTACGGCTGTGTAAGGGATTTCCCGTTCGCGCATGAGCATCTGATAGAATCCATCCATCAAATCCATGGACGAAAAGATGGTACTTTTGCCACACCATCTATGATGACATCCTTTCTTGGGATCGGCGTTTGAGCCGGTACCGTTGCAGCATTCAATTTATTGAACGCGTGCACTATCCGCCACCCTCATGTGGACTTTTGCACACAGAAGGTCGGGGAGCTGTGTGGGGATGTTAATTTTCTTACATGACCAGCCGCACAACGATCGACAAAGCATTTTTCGATCGCTGTGACGTGTTCACGAGGGCCACTGCTTCAAGACACAGTATTTCGAACCATGTTTCAGCTCGATCTCATGCAGAGTGCCTTTGTCCTTGGGCAGCTCGCATGGCACGGATTCCGGGAAAACATCCCTGAATTAAACCAAATCCTTATCCAAAGGATTTATCTTTTAGGACTCCCAAGATTGAGACGTATATCGCTCAATCCGGGTCTTATCATCGAGGAAACTCTCGTCCATAGATTAGCTACTGAAAATCTGCTCGTTCTCAGCAAACACTTGTGCCAACCTAATATCGGCGACGACCTCGTCCTCTCTGACGAGTACGCAGATCTGCTTGATCTTGTCACTACGCAGATTTCGCAAGAATCTTTTAGATTCTAGCGTTGGAAGCTTGACCACCTCCGAAGCTGACTTTAAGGGCGCAACTAGATCAAGTGTAATAACGCCTACACTTGATACGTCATTCCCCAATACATTAACTGAATCGGTGATATTCTGGGAAAGCACATACGCAGGTGGTTGAGTTCCACACCCTCAACATATTTCTCTCGGGAGTTGTTACTCTCAGGAACGCTGGAACTTTTATCCAAAACGTGTACTGACTGTGGGTTAACTGCCACAGTCACGTCTCTTTCGATCGACTCTCTTTTATTCGATCGGGCTTGCTGTACGATCGACTCTCTGGTAGTCGATCTTGCTTCAACGTGTTGTCCATCCTGAACAACACTATTTTTCTTCTTGGATGCAACCTTATTGGTGTGCATCCGTGTTACAGTCCACTCGATCTTTTCGAGTGGTGAAACTTCGGCGCAGCCTGTGTCTCTACACAGGTGCCGGAAGCCGGTTTCACACAGTAGTGGCCTTCTACACTGTGATCTTGTGCAATCGTACTAACGACCATACCACAACTGAGGCCATCGAACTCACTCGTAGTACATCCACACGCTTGTGGACGCTCCAAGACGTTCATCAGGTGGCCATCCGATGAACAAACGGCAGGCACTTTCACGGATCGATGCTGCCAGCTAACCCATGGCCGGTACTTTCTAAGCCATGGCAGACCAAGGATGACATAAAATTTGTCATCCAAATATAATACGATAAAGTCATCATCGTACTGATTTCCTTCTTGCGTGTAGTGGGTTCCCACTACACGTTTGTCCACTGTTACGGATGCGACTGTAGCCAGGCACAACGTCATCCTCGTTGGAGGGAACTCTCTCTCAACATAGTTATGAATACTATCTTCTAGAGACTGGCGTCGTATATAACTGTTCGATGCCCCTCAGTCAACTTGGGCGCGAAGTGACATTCCACTTATTACTTCGATCTTCAAAGTGATCAGTAACACCTCATTCCTAGGGGCAGTAACACACAGCGACTGTGTGTTGAAGGCAATCTTCGTAAAGAATTCTGCAAATTCTCTTGACGTTGCTGGATCAGCAGGGTGCTCCACCCTTACTGACCCTGACCGCTTTCTGACGGTCCGACTTGCTGTCGCGGCTTGACGACGTGGTCGGACCCACGCCTCGGACCTTTCTTTGGCCAACGGTGGTCATCACGTCCTGTCTTTGGGCATGTGTTGCGGTGCTTGGGACACTACACTCATGAGCGTAGTGTCCAATCTTTGGACAGCGATGGCATCTTGCCGTTCGATTGTGACTCAGGGAGCGAGAGTTCTCTCTCTCGATGTAACAGAGGTCCATTGGTTCGGGATCTCCGGTTTCCTGTCGTCTAGTCGGACGATAGTTGGACGAGTTAGCCTGAGACTGTCTCAGGCTGAAGTCTTCTTGTTCCGCATACGCTATCGCCCCTTTCCAGCGTATGGAAATCCTCTCGGAACATGTAAGTCTTTACCTGCCCATCCACAAGGCCGTAGATGAACGCGTTGATGAGTGTGTGCTCATCAACAGGGTTCTCCATAATACTACTCGCAAGGTAGCGCAGGTGCTGTACGTAAGCGTGCACGTCACGATTACCTTGCTTTAGCCTCAAGAGTGTAGAGCGTGCTCTGAACTCGGCTCTCGGTGACTCAAACGCTCTTTAAATCGAGACTTCAAGATCTCCAACGAATTGAATACGTTTGTGTCGTAAATCTTGAGCCCTAAGGCCCAAGTCTTTGCTCGTCCCGTCAAATTTGACAGGGCGAAGGTGACTTGCATCTCGTCACCCTCGATGTGACGGGCCTTGATGACATCGTCTAACTTGACGAACCATCTCAAAAGGGAATCTTCATCGGTTCCCTTGTAACTTGAGATTATACTCTTTAAGGTTTCGGGTCGACGCATGTGTGTCGGTCCGCCCATCTACTGTTGAGAGCCTTGCTGCTGTAGCAAGGCTATCTCCTGTCTTTCGACGGCAAGTTCCCCTTGTAGGAACTTGTTGATAGCAGCATGTTGCTGGTCTCTGCTTAGAGACTCCTACATACCACTGTTGGCGGGTTCGCCCATGAGCACACTCATGCGGCCGACTACCTCCCATTCTGAGTCACTCAGATAGGAGTAGCCTTCACGTGTGACGTGAAAGCTGTCGTCTTCTACGTCCAACATGTTCATGTTGGACGGACAATAAGCAGTCGTTGGACGGACTACTAAGTGCTACCAGGTGTAACGGGGCACCCTTTGTTTGGGTGCCACATAACTTCACGTACACTAGTACGTGCAGAGGAAGCTAACTACTTGAACGACTCGGTCGAGTAAGGTAAAAAAGAGAACTGTATTCAATGTAGTTAAGCTATCAACATAACTTTAATCTTTATCTAACTATGTTAAACTACGCCGTCGCATGACGACAGCCTGCTCACCACTCATTGCGCGCGTCTAGCAGCGATTGGTAGCAATCTATGGTTGATATATCTTATATCGACCAATCTTGGAGCAGCGAATGAATATTATCCAAAAGGGGATAATATTCCTTCAATATTACCCATCCCGGATAATATTGGTAGAATATTGTCATACTAGACAATACTCCAATTGACACCGTTTGGTGTCAATTTCATGTAACGGGATACCCCGTTACATCAACCCCCCTTAACCATCAATCATCCGTAGATTGAATTAGAATTGATTGAGACAGGGTGACCATCGTTGGATCACCCTAGGAAAGGAAGCACTTGTTGGTCAAATCCCATTCATTTGCCATTTTAACGCATAATTTCGAAAACTAAGCGAGCTGCTTCTGCAGCAGCAAGAAAGGCGGCTGCACGCATGCAGCCGCGGAAAGTGCCGCTTACGCCTCAGCAGCAGGCGATTTGTCGCCTGTTGTCGTGAATCCTCCACGTGGTGAGTCACCACGTGCGACAGGTACATCCGTTGCGTCTGCAGCGGGTACCTCGAATCATCATCCGGACGAGTCTGAGATAGTGCCAATATATTCTGGCGAGTCGGATGATGCATCCGACTTGAAGGCGACTCCTCACGCCTCCGGATCACCCGGGGCGGACACTGCAAGAGCCAGGTTTACTGGCTCTGGTCAACGCGGCGGTATCATGTCCGAGATCTTCGGATCGAGCGATTTTATCGATGAATCTCCGCCTCACGCAAGTCCATCCAACTGTAAGACGCGTGAAGATGGTGGTCATGCACCTATGCATCACCACGAGCGAAGCAACTCAAGGGATCGGGATAACACTGTTGCCAGTGCTCATTCTTGCACCAAAAAAAAGGCCAGGGACCGAAATGTCCTGCGCCACGCTCCGCAAAGTGGAGTCTCCGTGGTTGCCGCCATCCAGAGAGTTGGACCGGTTGGCCGGCACGAATACCGAACGGGATCTAATCCCGTTGTTCGATTGCAGGGAGATTTGCCCTCCTGATTCCAGCACGGAAACTATTCGTGCTGAGGAAGAGTTCTTCACCGATGCGTTCTATAAACATCGGCGGTACAATGGTAGCCGTGTACGAGACGGCAAAGCCTTGGTGCAGGGACGGAATGCACTCCTCCACAACATCGAGTGTATTGGCCGTGAGGCTTGGCTCTCCAAACTTGATGCCATCGCATCAGGTTTGAGAAACGCAACCCCGTCGAGGCGCGATACAAGTGCACAGGCTTTCAAGAGAGGCAGGACTACCCTGTCTCTCGTGGGGTGATTCGTGTCCAGGTTTCCTGGACATCTCCAACCGTGCCCTTAGGGAGGCCTACCTCCCTAATGATCCCTAATGGAGGGCGTGCATCTCTTCCGAGATGGCCGAAGGGATCGACACTTTGCAATCCCTGTGCTCGCGTTAGGAGAGGTCGTTTTCCGACGGCCCTTCTTCGAGCGCAGTGGGTGGATCTCGTCATACTGCTCGACGAGACCAAGGACATCAACAATAGGCTGAGCACGAGGCTCTCAGCTGTCCTACGCCGGTGGATAGCCACGCCAGCGGACGAGGTAACTCGTCCGGACGCCATTCACATTGCAGTGTTTTAAAATACGCTCCACAAGGAAGCGTTGACCACTGCTTGAGTCCACCAAAGGATGTGGTGGCGGTGGGAACACCTGATACGGTTTGAGGGTCGGATCAGCTTGATGTTTAAGAGCTGAATCGTGCAATGGAACAGTTGCATGATGACCTGGCTCATGAACGATCTTGGCGTTTTGGGCTTGAGGATCTTGTGAGGGATAGTTATAATTCCCTAACGCACGATCGTTCGGACGGTCGTGCCGCGTTTGCGTTCGCACAACTTGAGAACGAACGTTCGAATCGTTATCTTCGTGATGAGCTGGCTGCTGCTCGTCGAGACATCGCTGAGATGCATGAACAGGTCGCTTCGCAAGTCGACTAGACTGGCTCGTTGAAACGGGACCACTCGAGGGTGGTCTCGGCTCTCGACCGCGGAGGTGTTCTTCGCATCTCGAAACGAGCTCGTACTGATAGTACGGGCGGAAACGATTAACGTAAAACGTAGGATGCGTGCGCATCTTACGGGGCAGTTCAATCGTGTCTGCGTTGCCCATTCGGCGCAACACACGAAATGGACCGATGTACCTGGATCGTGGTTTACTGCCGCCCATGTTTGTCACTGCGTGCTTCGGTAGATTTACTGTAGACAGCAAAACTAGGTCTCCTATATCAAATGAAAGAACATTTGCTCTTCCGTGTTTGTTTGCGTTTCTCTTATGTCTGTCTAATGCATCCGCAAAAGAGTATTGAACGAAGCGGAAAACCGCTTAGCGAGTCAGCAGAAATTCCTCTGCTGATTCATCCTTGTCAACAGCAGTGCGCTTCGTTTGCACTGCTGTAAGAACGTTGTTTTCACCAGTGAGGGTATTATCGTCCTCACTTTGGTGGTCAATGGCGATGCTGAATATGCCAACATCGTCGTCATCGTCATCATCGACATCGATCCCACCGACATCGGCATTTATCACATCGACACTATTGTCGACGGGTGATGAGCAAGATCCAAATCGGTTTTTGTTCGAGCGAGTCCACCCCCCCTCCTTTAATTAGAGTCACACTTTTAAAAGGCGGGTAAACGTGGATGGCGTAGGCCATTCACGAAGAACGGTGTATGCGTTGTTGACGCTTGCACCGAGTTGTAGATGGCGAATTCCGCCATCGGCAAGAACTCACTCCAGCTCGTAAACGAGTGGACATACCCTCGAAGGGTCTCTTCAAAATAACGGTTGACGCGGTCCGTTTGACTATATGTTTTGGGATGTTCAGAAGTTGACATCGTCAAACGTGTTCAAAGCGAACGGAACACGGATTGCCAGAGCTCCGCTGTGAAGCGGGGGTCCCTATCGGACACGAGTTCACAAGGTAACCCGTAAAGTCGGAAGATAGTATTGATAAAGACACGCGAACAGCCCTAGGCTGTGATTGAATCCTGAACAGCAACAAGATGTACCATCTTGCTGAACCGATCAACAAAAACAAGAATACCAGTATTCATGTGAACGTCTTTGGGAAACCCGAAGACGAAGTCCATCGATACGGACTGCCAACACTACGCCGGAATCGGAAGAGGCTGAATGGGTGCGCGGGATGAAGGACTAGGCTTAAACCGTTGACAAACTTCGCAAGCGCGAATGTATTTGCGCACAAAATCATACTGGCGGGGCCAGTAGAACTCACGACTTTCCGTGAGGTAAGTCTTTTCTCTACCGCGATGTACACTTGTTGAAGCATCGTGACACTCATACATGATGCGCAATCGCAAATCATCATGAGTCGGAACGACGACACGAGATGTGTCGCCGCTGATTGCTGTTTAGTACAGCAGTCCATCACAGACAGAATACCGTTCGGTTGAAGAGCGGTATTGAGACTACAAGCTTTTCAAAGCTTGATTACACGGATTGGATACGTAATCCATCAATCGCAGAAAGGACTCATCTTCTGCGTACACCTTCCGCACGTCGTCGAGCAGATTCGACGACGGAACACTTAATGTTAGTGTTTCTACCGTGGGATCACCCCTACTGTTGTGTTGAGCAGTCGGCTCGAAATCGAAACGACGCGAAAGAGCATCAGCGACGACATTAAGTCGTCCTGGTTTATACTCGAAGGAGAAGTTGTACTCTGCGAAGAAAGACAGCCACCTCGCCATTCGTTGCAAGGGGCGTGGAATGTTTACGGCCGTGCGTAACGACGCATGGTCGGTAAAAACGATGAAGGGCCTATCTCCTAAGAGATATACCCGAAGCTTGGCCAGTGCATATTTCGTGGCAAGGAGTTCCTTGTCATGAACCGGATAATTTCTCTCAGTTGCTTGCAGCTACCGCGATTGATAACAAACGACGCGCTCAACGCCGTCTGCGTCGTACTGCATTAACGCTCTGCCGATTGCAAAATCTCTGGTGTCACAGAACACATGGAATGGTCTATCCTAGTCTGCATTCGCCAACAAAGTCGTTTGCACCAAGCTTTTCTTGATGTCTTCAAAAGAGTGCTGACACTCAGCGCTCCATGACTACCTCTTGTTTTTCTTTAGTAGACGAGAGAGATGTATGGTCATCTCGGCGTAGTTGCGCGAGTACTTGCGCAAGTACGCCGTTAAGCCAAGGAACCTCCGAAGTCCCTAGACGTCGACTGGCACATGCCAGTCGCTAACCGCCTGAATCTTTTCCGGATCAGGGCGTACACCGTTTTTACCCGCGATGCAGCCAAGAAGTGGTATTTCGTTCGCTGCAAATCTACACTTCTTGAGGTTTGCGAACAACTCATGCTCTCGCATTAGTGTAAGAATCTTCCGGACGTGGAATCTATGAAACTCCACGTCCGTCTTTCCATCCATAGCCCGGCTATGGACGAAGCCATCGTCGAAATAACTTGGTGCGAAGTCGCGCACCGATCGCAACAGATTCGTCACAAATCTGTTGAAGGCTGCGGGGGCGTTACTTAGCCCCTGTGGCATTACTAGCCACTCCGAGAGCATACCACTGGGGGTGCGTACGGCTGTGTAAGGGATTTCCCGTTCGCGCATGAGCATCTGATAGAATCCATCCATCAAATCCATGGACGAAAAGATGGTACTTTTTGCCACACCATCTATGATGACATCCTTTCTTGGGATCGGCGTTTGAGCCGGTACCGTTGCAGCATTCAATTTATTGAACGCGTGAACTATCCGCCACCCTCATGTGGACTTTTGCACACAGAAGGTCGGGGAGCTGTGTGGGGATGTTAATTTTCTTACATGACCAGCCGCACAACGATCGACAAAGCATTTTTCGATCGCTGTGACGTGTTCACGAGGGCCACTGCTTCAAGACACAGTATTTCGAACCATGTTTCAGCTCGATCTCATGCAGAGTGCCTTTGTCCTTGGGCAGCTCGCATGGCACGGATTCCGGGAAAACATCCCTGAATTAAACCAAATCCTTATCCAAAGGATTTATCTTTTAGGACTCCCAAGATTGAGACGTATATCGCTCAATCCGGGTCTTATCATCGAGGAAACTCTCGTCCATAGATTAGCTACTGAAAATCTGCTCGTTCTCAGCAAACACTTGTGCCAACCTAATATCGGCGACGACCTCGTCCTCTCTGACGAGTACGCAGATCTGCTTGATCTTGTCACTACGCAGATTTCGCAAGAATCTTTTAGATTCTAGCGTTGGAAGCTTGACCACCTCCGAAGCTGACTTTAAGGGCGCAACTAGATCAAGTGTAATAACGCCTACACTTGATACGTCATTCCCCAATACATTAACTGAATCGGTGATATTCTGGGAAAGCACATACGCAGGTGGTTGAGTTCCACACCCTCAACATATTTCTCTCGGGAGTTGTTACTCTCAGGAACGCTGGAACTTTTATCCAAAACGTGTACTGACTGTGGGTTAACTGCCACAGTCACGTCTCTTTCGATAGACTCTCTTTTATTCGATCGGGCTTGCTGTACGATCGACTCTCTGGTAGTCGATCTTGCTTCAACGTGTTGTCCATCCTGAACAACACTATTTTTCTTCTTGGATGCAACCTTATTGGTGTGCATCCGTGTTACAGTCCACTCGATCTTTTCGAGTGGTGAAACTTCGGCGCAGCCTGTGTCTCTACACAGGTGCCGGAAGCCGGTTTCACACAGTAGTGGCCTTCTACACTGTGATCTTGTGCAATCGTACTAGCGACCATACCACAACTGAGGCCATCGAACTCACTCGTAGTACATCCACACGCTTGTGGACGCTCCAAGACGTTCATCAGGTGGCCATCCGATGAACAAACGGCAGGCACTTTCACGGATCGATGCTGCCAGCTAACCCATGGCCGGTACTTTCTAAGCCATGGCAGACCAAGGATGACATAAAATTTGTCATCCAAATATAATACGATAAAGTCATCATCGTACTGATTTCCTTCTTGCGTGTAGTGGGTTCCCACTACACGTTTGTCCACTGTTACGGATGCGACTGTAGCCAGGCACAACGTCATCCTCGTTGGAGGGAACTCTCTCTCAACATAGTTATGAATACTATCTTCTAGAGACTGGCGTCGTATATAACTGTTCGATGCCCCTCAGTCAACTTGGGCGCGAAGTGACATTCCACTTATTACTTCGATCTTCAAAGTGATCAGTAACACCTCATTCCTAGGGGCAGTAACACACAGCGACTGTGTGTTGAAGGCAATCTTCGTAAAGAATTCTGCAAATTCTCTTGACGTTGCTGGATCAGCAGGGTGCTCCACCCTTACTGACCCTGACCGCTTTCTGACGGTCCGACTTGCTGTCGCGGCTTGACGACGTGGTCGGACCCACGCCTCGGACCTTTCTTTGGCCAACGGTGGTCATCACGTCCTGTCTTTGGGCATGTGTTGCGGTGCTTGGGACACTACACTCATGAGCGTAGTGTCCAATCTTTGGACAGCGATGGCATCTTGCCGTTCGATTGTGACTCAGGGAGCGAGAGTTCTCTCTCTCGATGTAACAGAGGTCCATTGGTTCGGGATCTCCGGTTTCCTGTCGTCTAGTCGGACGATAGTTGGACGAGTTAGCCTGAGACTGTCTCAGTCTGAAGTCTTCTTGTTCCGCATACGCTATCGCCCCTTTCCAGCGTATGGAAATCCTCTCGGAACATGTAAGTCTTTACCTGCCCATCCACAAGGCCGTAGATGAACGCGTTGATGAGTGTGTGCTCATCAACAGGGTTCTCCATAATACTACTCGCAAGGTAGCGCAGGTGCTGTACGTAAGCGTGCACGTCACGATTACCTTGCTTTAGCCTCAAGAGTGTAGAGCGTGCTCTGAACTCGGCTCTCGGTGACTCAAACGTCTCTTTAAGTCGAGACTTCAAGATCTCCAACGAATTGAATACGTTTGTGTCGTAAATCTTGAGCCCTAAGGCCCAAGTCTTTGCTCGTCCCGTCAAATTTGACAGGGCGAAGGTGACTTGCATCTCGTCACCCTCGATGTGACGGGCCTTGATGACATCGTCTAACTTGACGAACCATCTCAAAAGGGAATCTTCATCGGTTCCCTTGTAACTTGAGATTATACTCTTTAAGGTTTCGGGTCGACGCATGTGTGTCGGTCCGCCCATCTACTGTTGAGAGCCTTGCTGCTGTAGCAAGGCTATCTCCTGTCTTTCGACGGCAAGTTCCCCTTGTAGGAACTTGTTGATAGCAGCATGTTGCTGGTCTCTGCTTAGAGACTCCTACATACCACTGTTGGCGGGTTCGCCCATGAGCGCACTCATGCGGCCGACTACCTCCCATTCTGAGTCACTCAGATAGGAGTAGCCTTCACGTGTGACGTGAAAGCTGTCGTCTTCTACGTCCAACATGTTCATGTTGGACGGACAATAAGCAGTCGTTGGACGGACTACTAAGTGCTACCAGGTGTAACGGGGCACCCTTTGTTTGGGTGCCACATAACTTCACGTACACTAGTACGTGCAGAGGAAGCTAACTACTTGAACGACTCGGTCGAGTAAGGTAAAAAGAGAACTGTATTCAATGTAGTTAAGCTATCAACATAACTTTAATCTTTATCTAACTATGTTAAACTACGCCGTCGCATGACGACAGCCTGCTCACCACTCATTGCGCGCGTCTAGCAGCGATTGGTGGCAATCTATGGTTGATATGTCTTATATCGACCAATCTTGGAGCAGCGAATGAATATTATCCAAAAGGGGATAATATTCCTTCAATATTACCCATCCCGGATAATATCGGTAGAATATTGTCATGCTGGACAATATTCCAATTGACACCGTTTGGTGTCAATTTCATGTAACGGGCTACCCCGTTACAGTAAACGCCTTGACAAGGCTAACACTCTTACAGCACACTTCGCCTTTACTAGGCACTTGTGTCCAAAGATTGAAAAGGGGGACTGCGCTTTATTTTCTATTTAACTATGGCAAGTAAGCCCTAAAACCTTGCTTGACTGATTATTACATTGCGGTCTGATGACAAAAGTCTAATCCCTACTCGATAAGGTGCGGTATTACCGTAAGTACGTGGTACCAAGACTGTGCCACTCAGATCCACCGATCCATAATTGGTGTGGACACACAACATAACCGGTTTAAATAACCGCGTGTGACCCCGTTTCAGGACGCCTCCAATCAATCCCTCCTCCGGTGGAAGGTTAATAGGCTCCGTGCTAGTCGTCTTGCGATCGAGGACTTTGCTGTCACCAGCGCTTGCTCTTCTATTCTCCAATTCGATGGGCTAACGGTTTCATTCAAAGTAGAGAGTGAGGTACGACTATATTAAGGAAGAAAACGCAATTTTCCAGAATCCCAGTCGAGTACACATCAAGCCCGCTAAATCGAATTCGCACTTTATCACTAGTGAACAGCCGCAGCCAGAAAATAACCATCAAATGAAAATACTGAGATGAGATCATGATTCAACACTTCTCGCGAGCATGTACAAACACTGGCGACAATACGTAAAGCAAGTTTAAGCGAGATAATGATCACTCATCTCAACTACGTCCACACATGAGTGAGCAGCTACGACTCCACTACTATCGAACATCCACACTAACGAGGTCCCAGAAAGCCGCAGGTTCCTGTCCCTGCCGCACTCTCTCACACTTCATCGGAAACGCCTCATACCGTTGTAGCATCGCCGCACCGCTCTCTGCAACCTCCACGTGATCTCCACTCACGTCCGTACCGCACCAGATAAACATATCATCACAACTTGCCACAATCAGACACTGCTCTCTGACATCCTTCGTCGGGTCGCGGAAATGCCTTTCGTCGACCCCCAATAGCGGCACAAAGAGCGGATTGTTCTCCACTCGTTTTTGGCCACTGCACTTGTTCTTCTTGTCCGAGTTTATAGCGTACATCACATCCAGTCGAAAGACTATTGTGCGCTCAAAGCGAAGTCTCCCGTCCGGATGCTGCTGTTCCCACTCGGTCAGCTGAAAGATGAACCCCGCATTGGGGTCCACAACCGAACGCGCTTGTCGAACAAAGTCCAGCGCCTTGTACATGCCAATGCTCTTGTGCCACATCAAGTACGCAATCGCCATCGTCGGCGAGCGCGAGATGCCCTTGACACAGTGCAAGAAAATCCGTCCTCCGCCCTCGCGAGCACGCTCGATGAAGTCGAACATGCTGTAAAAGTGCCGAGCAATGTCCTGCGACGAGTGGTCGCGAAGCTTGATGCTGTAGTAGCTGAAGTCTTCTGGAAACGAAGCTGGAGCGACGCCGGCTGCACAGTTAATAACATGAGTGATGCCGTTCTGGAGCAAGAGCGGCTTGTTCTTGGCCGCAACTGCACCACCGATGTAGAGAAAGTCCGTGACTTTCGAGCACAGAGTGACTTGGTCTTGTAGCCGTTGCAAGGCCATGGTCGTAAAAGTGCGGCGGCCAGAAGCTGTCTGGTCCATCTGCGATAAGTCCAGCGACAAGTTGCCTGGATTCCGACTGCGGCGTTGCTGAAAAGGGCAGGTTCTCTTCGGGACGCTTGCGATTCCTCGGGGCAAAAGCTCGTCAATCACTGGAGTCGATAAAGACGGCGGTGACGAGCGTAGTGTCTCGGCAACAGCATTGCTCAGGCTCTCCAAATTCATTTTGACAGGTACCGACGCTCGCTTGTCGGCCGGACACGTACTACCAAAGTGGGTTGTGTCCGATACCCCTAAAGAGCGCTTTCTCGCTTGGGTAAGAGAAGGCGTCCAGCTACACGATGAGACGGTCGCACTTGTCTTGCTCTGTACAAAATTCCCTTGATGGCTGCAAATTCGCTTGTTCAGCGTCGTTGGCCGAACCATCACACAGTTGTCTGCTGACTGTCGTAGAGACGTCGTCTTGTTGTCGCTGCTCGTTGTAACAAATGGCGGGGGCGATGTCGGATCTATGTAAGCAGCATCAACAATGCAGCAACCAACAACAACAAAACACACACACACATGAGTCAGAGAATGACGCCCTAGTGTCCCGCCTTAATGTTCTCGTCATCCGTTGCATCACTTTCTCTCTCTCTCTCTCTCTCTTCCTACCTCCTTCAACGTGCAGCATCCACGTCGGACAGACTCGAGACACAGAGACGTCGTCGTCTCTTGCCGTCAGCAACTCGTCAAAGGCGATTGAGCTAGTCACAAAAGCATCATCACCTTTTTCAACAATAGAAGCAGCATCACGCATTGCTGTGAGCGTGGCACGTCTAGTCCATCAACGACAAGCACACCCGAGTCAGAGCACTGCATCCTCCCAGCTTAAACACACACCAAAAAACAACACATGCGTTTACATTTTCCCGTCCGAGTAGCAGCGCGTCAGTACCGGAGACTCCTTCGTCACCGCTCGACGTCGCCCGTTCAGAGTCGCTTCCAGGCGCGGCAGGAGCTCCTTCTCATTGGCTCGAAACGAGTCGTAGCTGCTGGACGACGTGGGTCTTGTAAAGTCCACGGACGGTCCAGCGACGAAGTATCGCGAGCTTTCTGGGTTCCGTTCGTCGTTGTCCGCTGTCGCTCGGCGACTTGATGAGGTGGAGTCCATGCCCACGATCGCTCTGTCTCTGGGCTTGAACTTCCGGGAAAGGCTGAGGGGTTTTCAGCACTTCCGGGTGATTAATCACTTGATAGACGACCAAAGACACTGGATCAGGTGGAGGGGGAGAGGTTTACGCTGCTCGCTTTTCTGTCGATGTCAATGACTTTTGAAGCTGAAACGCCCGCTTCTGAGGTCCTTCGCGCGAGTGACGCACTCATTTTTGTATGGAAGAAGACGGCACGTGTGTCATTCAGTGGGGGTGCTGGATTCGTTGAAGCGCAGGCACGAGCAGCGAAACGGCCAGGCCTTGCTATGACCAGCTCCGACTTCCAACTTGACGTCGGATTTCTTATGCCGTGTACCGTTTCTGTTTGTTTTTATAGGATGAGCTACACTTCATGTGGACACTGGCGCTTGAACTGCCACGTCTCGACCAATCGCCATCAGCTTTAGCATGGAAACGACAAGTTTGGTAGCAGCTTTTCCCAGCCTACATGACAGGTGAATGAATCACAATGGGCAGGACCCTCTATACGCTACACAGCAACGCTCTGCTTGGTGACCAAACACAGAATGAGAGTATCAGACTCGTGCCATTTTACAAACTGCCATCCGTCACGTGTCATGCGGCGAATAGAAGTTGCTTCACCGTACTAACCATTTCTCCGCTGCATCAGCTCTCACAAGAGCGACTCACGCCGATAGCAGAAAAAGACAAGTCCCTTTGTTCGTCGTGATCCTCCTCCACCCACTACCTCTGTCCATTCTCACCTTAACCTCCTCCAATGTTCAGCATCCTGCAGAGGTCTTGAGTCATCGATAACTCGACGGACATCGGCGCTATTGGAGTCGCCACGTCCGGAGGCGCCGAAGGTACGGGCGGCAGCAGCGGCTGCGGAGGATGGACAGAGGGTGGACCCAACGAGAATGCCGGCGCGGGTGCTGCCGTCATGAGCTGCACCGGTGGTAGCGTAGGCAGAATCAAAGGTGCTGCAGACGTCGAGGCTGAAGTAAGTTTATCACTGTCGCTCAAGCCTCCTGCCGTTTTTGTGAGAAATGGTGGCATCGGCAGCTCAGCCGGGTCAGGTGACGACTGGAAAGCTGACCAGGCCCACTTTCCAGAGGCTGACAGCTGCTCCTTCATCTTTCCATTGCGTGACTGCTGGCGATTACTGGACTGAGCACCACTGCTGGTCGTGCTGCTTCCTTTGTTCTTTTCCTTTTTCGGCAAAGCGTTTACCGCCAATGTGTCTTCAACTCCTTCGTTCGAACACCGAGATGAATTGGGTCGAGTCTTCTGTTGTTTTGACTCCCGCTTTACTGAGCTGCTGCGTGGTTCAATGCCATCTAAAAGCACCACAATAACAGCATCTTGTTAGCCACCCCAACAAGAATCTTGAGCTTTCAGCATATCTCCACCAAACAAGAGTAACATCATGAACACGGAAATCAAAATACCGATAGTAGATGATAGAAACGTTCTACCTGCATCCAAAGACTTTGGTGCACTGCTTGACAGCATCATCGATGGCGTGAGCAGCAGTTTACTACCAACGCCGCTCTCCGTCCGACCCTCTCGATCGACAGCTTTGATTGCAACCGGATCAGATATCGCTCGCGACTGCTCAGAAGGGTACACAAAGTAACCGCGTTCTTTGTCCCAGACACGGGCGTCCACATCGATTTCTTCCCTCTCAGTGTCCCCCTCAGCAAACTGGAGCAAGTGGTTCACGTTCTCCTCGCCATCAAAGAACGGCACTAACGGACGTCCCACCAGATCTGACGATGCCATGAGTAGAGGTCAATGAACGCGTCGAATACAGTTGAAAGTGTTTGCGCAAACGACAGGAGGTGGGATAAGAGCGATAGAGTGTCTTTTGTAAAGGCACGTTCGGAGGTTGGACAGTTTGCTTGTCGTCGTGAGGCGGCGGCAGATCAGAATGGAGCGGAAGACGAGTAGCTCCTGCGGCTCGTGTGTGGTCGGGCAGCTTCGAAGTGATGTCGAGCGCTTGGGAGCGGCGTTCGGAACGTTCTCTACAAGTGTCTGAACCTCGTGAACTCCGGATGCTTTCGAAGAGGCAGTAGAAAGCAGGGAGAGGGCGCAAAGTTGAGACTTTAGCAGAGTCGATCAACATCCACAGGTATCATCTGATCAACATCCACAGGTATCATCGGATCAACGTCCACAGGTATCATCTGATCAACATCCACAGGTATCATCTGATCAACATCCACAGGTATCATCTGATCAACATCCACAGGTATCGGAAGCACGACGTGGCGAAAGTATGCGTTCGCTGGCTGTGATTTTGGTGTGACTCTGATTTGAAGTTCACTAGTGCTAATTCAGCAGCTGTGGGCGGAAATACTTGTCCACTACGCCAAGGACGAACTCAATGGAGAACCTCAGGTGGTCGCCGTCAGTGGACAGGAAATGCACCTTACCAGCTGCGTCCAGCGTTTTTAGTCCGAATAGATCTTCCTGATACCATCTCGTCTCGTTGAAGCCCAGCACATTGTGAAGCGGATCGCCGTCTTCGTACATACCAAACCATTCCGACTCTTTTGGAAAGACCTGCATGTCCTGGTTAGCGCGGATAAGCACAAGATTGTGCAGCTTGGTGAAGTTATCCTTGTACGTCTGGTTGGTCGGCGTCCTCTCATTGTTGAGATCGGGGAGGAACCTCGCTTTACAAGTTGGCCAAGTCAACAATAGGACAAGTTAGGATACACTGATTCCACCACCTTCAACAAGTGGCCACTGACCGTGCTTGAGATAAGCATCGATACGAAGCGGGTCACGATAGTAGTTTGCCTGTGCGAGACGCTCTGAATGATCAACGCGAGTTAGCATTTGTCAGCATCGCCAGGGCAAACTTCGCTCACGTACCTTGGACTTCTTCCGTGTAAACCGCTTCTCCTATCAGCTAGAACATCATACCAAGCAAGACACGTCAGAAAATTCCGGCCTGGCATGACAATCAGCACACGATGCCAACCTTGTCAATTTCCTTGCAGATAAAGTTGAGGGGAGAGCACCGTGGGAGTCCTCCCACACCAGCAAGCGGTCCATGAAACGAAACAAAATTGTGAACCGGTGGGTCGTTGTAGCGCTCAATGTACGCGCGAATCAACAAGTTTCCCTGATCGAATGGGAGTTGAACAAAGAAACGATCTGCCGCGTGAGTACACGCGGTACGACCAACTAGAAACGCAGCAGCACCGACTCACCTGAGAGAACCCCGCCGCATTGAATCCAAATGCCAGTTGCGGGTCCTATCATACAGACACAGTATTTCAGAACAGGTGACGACCTATAAAGGACTCAACCCGACAATCAAATAGTCCCGTTCGCACCTCTCGCACGATCTTGGCAAACATCTCCGTCTGGTTGTCCATCGTGATGAAGAAGCTGTTGGTCACGTCTTCATGCACTGAGTTGCCCAGCTGGACATTGGCCACATAAGCTCCAAGGCGCGTTGCAATTGCCTATCAAATTCCAAAACGCGCTTACAACTAAAACACAACCACGTAAGCAAGAGCAAGCCAATCATCCTTCTTCGTACCTTCTGCATGCGCACCATGCCTCCATTTCTTGCAGCATCGCCCATCCCATGCATCAGCACAACTGGCAGCGTCTTTGTCGGTTCAAACACGGGCGTCTTCTTCCCCGATCCTTCCGTAACCTCTTCCAACTGCATCATCGGCTCATCTCCCACTACCACATACGTCGCTGATTCCTTGCTAATCAACGCAAACTGAGCCAGCACCAGAAACACCGTGACTACCGCTACAATACCAAGCACTCGGTTGCTCCGTTGCATCGCTTCGGTCGCTTGTGGTCGATATCGAAGCCCAAATGAGACCCACAAGCGCCAGTGCTTCTCGTCTGATCTGTGAACCGACAATGGAATGCTTGTCACGTCACTAATCGGATGTCACTAAACCAAGACGGGCGACCTTGGTAAGTACGACCACACGCAGCTGGCCAACAAACAATCAATCAGTCGTCATTACTCAATCAGTCAACTGCTTTATCCGGAAAAAGTGAAGCCATGTCGGCGTTTACTCGAGCGAATGTCGTGCGTAGCGCTGGTGACGCCATGTCGCGCGCAGGGGCTCGTGGCTGGGGCTGGTACCACCGCTCGCTGGCCAAGATGAACTCACCTGAGGCAGCTGCTGTGGCGTACGATGCGGTGGCGCCCACGCCAGCCCAGCCGCGCCCTCGTGCTTATCTGGACTTGAGTATTGGTGGAGCCAAGACGGAGCGCATCGTTGTGGAGCTGGCCAAGGACATTGTGCCCCGCACGGCCTCGAACTTTATCAAGATGTGCACGAGCGGGTTCCAGTCGCAGGCATTTGGCTCGGGCTCGTACAAGAACTCCAAGTTCCACAATGTGACCAAAGGGGTGTACTGCGTGGGCGGCGACGTGCTCGCTGGAAAAGGCACGGGCGGCCACGCAGCACTGGAGGAGAACCAGCGGTACTTTGACGATGAGAATTACGCACTGCAGTTCTCCGAGAAAGGGGTGCTGGGCATGGCCAACGCGGGTCTGAACAAGAACGCGTCGCAGTTTTTCATCTCGCTCAAGCCGCTGCCGCACTTGAACGGGCGCAACGTCGCGTTCGGCAAGATCGTCGAGGGGGAAGAGGTGCTCAAGAGTATCGAAGGGGTCTATTGTGTGCAACACAAGCCATTGACGGATATCCGAATCGTCGATTGCGGCGTGCTGTAAGCCGAGGGAGTATTCACACGGTACGAGCAGTAGGCGGACGAGGGCGCCGAGGGTAAGGCTTAGGTCAAATAGAGGATCGCCCATGCGATACTTGGACTCATGATTTTTCTATCGTCGTATTGCAGTGTGCTTGATCCTCACATAATCCGCACTTCGTAGCAGTATCAAATTGTGGTCCTGCTCTTCACTTCGACAGTGCACTATCCTTTCTTGTGGCATAGCAGACATAACTTCTCGGATCTTGGTGTTGGTAACACGACGACGACGTAGCTTCACGCAGGTAGTGGCATGCGACGAGAAGCATCATCCTCGCCACTTCATCTTTATCTTTTTATTGTGCCTACACGTGCATGGAAGAGCTGCCTTGCCATCACCTCTCGCTGTGGCATGAGCTACACCACTTATCCTGTTGCATCTCCTACCAAACGATCCGAGCTGGCTGCTCAAAATTGCGATTCCGTAACACCGTGACCCATCGTGTTCGTCGATGACAGTCCACCTGTGATAGTGTTCTGCATCGCGTCCACCAGTTCAGTGCCTGACCAGCCCTGGTGTTTCAGCGTCTCGACACCCTCGTTGCGCTCGGCTCGCTGCACGCCCTCGACGTACGCAAGCATGCCGCGCTTGGCATAGTCGCGTGCGAAGCGGGTGATGCCAAGCGAGTCGCTGTGGAAACCAGCTAGCGTGATAAACATCCAGCAAAAGCCCAATTGGGCCAGGTCTGTCACGAACGTCTCGATCTCTGTGTCCGACATACCAGCTGCGTCCCAGTTGAACGACGGCGAAAGGTTGTACGCCAGCATCTGGTGCGGAAGCTTAGCTTTGACACCTTCAGCAAACGTGCGCGCCAGCGGCACACCTGGCTTGGCCGTTTCCATCCAGATCAAGTCAGCGTATTCACCATACGCACGGCCACGAGCAATGCAATAGTCCACACCGCCGCGCACACGATAGTACCCCTCCACGGTACGTGCACGGTCCCAGTCAAAAGCAATGTTTACACCTTGCGACTGTGCCAGAGCCTGCAGTTTGGGCAGGCTCAGCTCCAGGCAACGGGCGTTCCACGTGGCCAAAGCGTCCGACCGACCCGACTTCTCCAGCACCTCGCGAACAGCCTCCGGGTAAGTCTTGGCCTGTGCCAGCTTGTCCCACTTTTTCTCACGACCAGCACGAGTAGCGTCAATGTACGACTCTACGTTCAGATTGGTGGCACCAATAATGAAGGGGTGGTCGCGAGGATCGATGTTATTGTCCAGCAACGTAGCGGCTTCAGCGTCTGTGCGAGCCACAACAACCAATGGACTACCGAGGATATCAGCTTGCAGACGAGCAGCAATGAGCCGCTGGATATGCTCCTGCACCGAGACGAGTACCTTGCCACCCATATGGCCACACTTCTTCGTGCCGGGCTTCTGGTCCTCGAGGTGAATGCCCGCAGCGCCACGCTCAATAAACATCTTGGTCAGCTTCATCACAGCAGTGAGACCACCGTGACCAGTGTCAGCGTCCGCTACAATAGGACGCAAAAAATCCGTGGGCGGTGTGCGAGCACGTTCGTCAGCAGTCAAGCGACGACGTGCCTCGTACTGTTTGCGGTCGTGAAAGAGCTGGGCACGAAAGAGCTGGTCGACCTTGTTCGGCACCGTGTCCATGGGGTAGTCAGCCACATCCGGTCCAGGCTCGTTCGACGTTGAGGCCGTCGAGGACGATTGCCAGCCACTGACGTAGACAGTCGACAAGTGGTTGGCCATTTGCGTGACCTGGATCGTGTCCAGCGCGCCGAACGTGTGGCTCGTCTTCTGGGCCGCCTGCAGCTCCCGCAACATCTTGTACAGTTTATGGGACATAGCGATCCCGACGTTGGCAGCGGGCATTGTGCCTTGCAGCTTCACGACGTCTTCGGCGCCATACGGACGCTTGACAAACTGGAACCGCTCGCTATGGAGAAAAGCTTCCGTCTGCTTGACACGCTGAACGTGGCCACTCTCTTCCGAGCGCGGATCGTGCGAGCTGAGGTGGCTGGCAATTTGGCTGATGCGGGTGTAGGGGGCGCTCATACTGGCGGAGGAGTCGAGGCCGCGTCGGGGTCGGGCGGTAAATTGAGAACTAAAGCATTTGGTGGAGTGGATCGAAGAGATCCGCGGTATGATTGGCTAGAAAGGAACTGCTGCGGTGGGCAGTGGCTCGTGCTCGAGCGGTGGGGTGCTGACGCGAGGCCGTCACGAAGACTGTTTGGATATAAAACATGCGCTCATACTCTGTGCAAGTCACGTCGAGTTGACGAGAACGCGTCCGACGTGAACGTTTGAGACAGATGCTGACACAAAGGGAAAGGTCATGCAATTTTCAGTTGATGGCTACAAAAGAGAGCGACAGTTGATGGCTACAAAACAATTTACAGTTGATGGCTACAAAAGAGAGCGACAGTTGATGGCTACAAAGCAATTAACAGGCGATGGCTACAGCGCAAACTGCAGCGTTTGTGACACGAAGCGAGTGCTACTCTGTTGCAGATGTTGTAGTCACCTTCGTCTCCTTATACTTGGCGCGCACACGTTTTCAGGTCATTCAACCGCGAGTATCGCGAGACAGCGCGGTGATGTTAGTATCGCAGTGACACTTTTTAGTACCGAGCAGATTACAGCGATTTGTCAATCCATTTTGTCTCGTTGACTCTTTATTTCCTGCCGCTCACTTTGTAGTGGCTACATCCTGAGGTTGCCTGGCGGAGCCATTACGCGTCGCCTCTGCTCTGTACAATATAGTACCCCTAAACCTGTCAATACGGGAAAAATAGAATTGATCTAGTCTGACACGTACAAACGAAGCTGACTCGCTCACGCCCTAAAATAAATCGTGCTGTATCGCTCTTCGTAAAGTGCTCTCACGTTACAACAGCCCATGTCACACTCGAGTCATCTGTTTCGTCACATTCGAACCACCTAACTCGAAATTTAACCAACCACCAAACAGCATAACTAACGAACAAACGAAGCAGGGAATCTCTAACTGCCTCTTACCAAACTGGCAGTACCAACCTCGACGACGAGCGCAGTCGGCGACGAGCAGCAGCGCGCATCCGAACCAGCGCAGACGCTGCGGGTCTCCGTCTCCCAGCAGTAGTAGTAGCAGCATGGCCGCGGGCACTCGTCGCCAGAGCATCGAGGTCTTTCGACTGCGACTGCGTGAGACAATGAACGAGGGCGACGACAGCGAGAGCGTCAGTAGTACCCCCAGTACCCCCAGTATTTCGAGTCTCCCAGAGCATCAGGAGCTCTCGGCGATGCTGCCAAGTCAAGAGAGTAACTCCAGTCGACGGTTGATGTACCCTATCGAAGAGATTACGACGGAAGAGGGGACGAGAGAGCAACAGCAGCAGCAGCAGAGCCAGGGAGAAGCTGTTGAGAAGACGGTGACGAGACGTTCCGTTCGTCTTGACATAAACATTGGCGAGGACAGTGATGAGGACCAATTATTTTCGGGACAGGGGAGTCAAATTGACGACGACAGTCGAGAAGAAGAGGAGATTGACGGCCGTGAACCTCAGGCTGGACGCAAACCTCCTTTTCTCGCGACTTCGTACTCTTCTGGCGACGACAGTAGCTCGAGGACTTTGCGTTGCAGTCTTGATGCTGTCAACTGTCCGTCTTTTTTGGACGCTAGAGATGCTCGAGCTATTGAAGCTGTCGCGCAACTCGGGGAGAGCCTCGAATCGTTGGAGAGTGAGGAACGAATGATGGCGAGCGGAGCTGAAAGTAGAGCAACAACTACAGTGCAAAAGACGACGCGATCAAATTCGTTGCCGGCGGCTCAATCGAAGGACACTCTTCGCGAGTCGAGGTGTGTCGTGCTTGTAACGCGCCCGAGTCAGCGGTACGTGCAGCAGCATCTACGCTTTTGCAGGGGTATGCGAGGTCTATATTCATGCGGAATCCTTTGATTGTTGTGCAGCGATATTGAAATGTGGACAGAGCGTGCAACAAGCACGATGGTCAAGTCCACCGAAAGCAGTGCTCGAACGACGCCGACCAGCGCACAGAGTCGGCGGTGGGTGCTCGAGTACAAGCCCGTGGTCCGCCACTCTGGATGGCTCATCAAGCGTGGTCATGGTTTGCGTAATTTCAAGCGCCGGTTGTTTTGTATTGTGGACAATGAGCTTATTTATCACGACACACATGACGCAACAGAGGTTCGTGGTCGCCTGGATCTCACGCGAAAGAGCACAGTGCAGTGTATGTTGCATAGCGGCTTCAAGTTTGTGCAAAGTGGGTGTGGTATGGTTTTGTATGCCTTGGATGACCACGACCGGGATGTGTGGATTCGAAAATTACAGGAACACAATGTACAATTGCTGCCTGAAGGTGCTAAGACAGCTAGACTTTTGAAGCAGAACAGCGATAATGCAGACAAAGGCGGTCCGATTATTTTTTCGGGTTGGCTGCGCAAACGTGGTCGTATGGTAAAATCCACAAAGCGACGCTGGTTTGAGTTGTCGAGCGGCACGCTTTCGTACTTTGCTCATCCACAGGGAGGTTCCCGGAAGGGTTCTCTTGACGTCTCTCGGGCACGAGTATCGCCTGTTGACACCATTAAGACGGGCGAAAGACACAGCTTTCAGATTTGTACATCCAGCCGAAATCTGTTCTTGCATGCTGACAGCCAAGAAGAACGGTCAATCTGGATAGCTGCTCTCGCCTCGGTAAGCGAAGGAAGTAGTACGGGCGCGACACTGGCAGGCGGGACGCCCTCAAAATCCGATACCAATGATTTTGGCATATCCATGAGCGTATCGGAGATTGGCTGGGCGTGTAAATGCGGTGCGTTAGAAAAAGGTGGCGCGACTATTGACGGTGTTTGTCGCCGCTGTATGTCCTCCTTCATCTCGAATACAGAAGACGTGATGGTGGATGTAGCGCGCGAAGTGCAACTGCTGCTAGCATCTCCGTACTCCCCGGAAGGTTGCACCTCCGCTGCTTTTTTGAAAGAGCACGCTGGTCGTCCGGTCCACAACGCGACGGTGCGGGAGTTCATGACTGGACTCTCGGGCTATTTGATTCACACTCGCTTGAAAGAGCTGTTGATGCTTGCGGGCGTCGCACAGCGTGACAGCAATTTGGCAAGCGACGCCGCGGAGAATCAGGCAAACTTCAAGATTGGCGCTGCAGGCCTTCAAGACGTTGCAGTGGTGAACGAGACTACGAATAACATTCAAACGATCGTTTACGAGCAGACGGAAGAACGTGTATTGTTTCCTCTTTACCGCGCGATCTTGACGAACGTGCATGCACAAACACGAGAGGATGCGAAGGTACTGAAGGGGAAGATTGAAATTCTGCGCAGCAAATCGCAAGCATTCTTCGGCATTGGTCCTGACAGCGTGTCGTCTTCTCGATGGGTTTCGGCTTGTGCAAAACTACGGGAAGTGGACAAGGTGAGTCTCCCGTACATGAAACGTGCGCAGCTGCTGGCTGCTTGCAAGGACATCTACGCCGTCTACCACACAGAGCACCCTGCTCAGCCGCCCATGAGTGCTGACGCCTTCATCCCAGCCTTCATCTACGTGCTCATTCACTCCCATTTGCGCGACCCTGTGGCGCTCAAAGAGTTGATCACGACCTTCGATTTGGGCAGTCAACATGGCGAAATCGCCTACTTCGTGACATGTCTGGAGATTGCACTCGAGTACATTCGATCGCTACTGACCGCATGTACAGTGGTGCTCTCTTCAGCTCGCAAACTCGGGATTGAGTTTGCCAAGCACGTGGAAGCCGATGTGGTGATTGTCCATCGACTTTTGCCAGGTGAGCAAGCTGAGCAGAGCGGTGTGATCAATCTTGGCGACGTGCTTGTTGCTGTAAACGGATTGCCAGTGTACGAGATGGAGCTTGCAGAAGTTGCAAAACTCTGGCGTGGCATTGATGGGGAGGCCGAATTTTGTTTCCTGCCTATGGACGAGTATCTGCGGAAGTATGGCACGTCATAACTACAAGTTGTACTTGGTCCGAGACTGCTGTCAGCTCGAGGCGGTGGCGTTCATGCACACGCGTTTATTTGTGACGTCTCCTTATTTTTATTCGGACGCAGGAGCTGTACCATCGAAACCTATTACGCGAGACACCTCGTCTCGATTGTAAACCTAATCGAAAAAAGTGACAAATACACGTGGACAACTCTTTTGTGTCAGCCAGTTGGTACGATCGAATTGTCAAGCGGCTCACAAAACCGCAGGCCACATACTGTAACGTTTCCCATCTGTTGATGAAATAATTGAACATAAAAGCAGTATGCGTCGTCTGTTAAATAAAAACAGCTTTTACAGCGTTTCGACGATCCGTATAATGAATGACGACGGCGTACATCCCGAAAAGAGTAAAAGCTGCTGGTACGAAAACCAGCTTGTCGAATCAACAGCCGCCACAATTGAGGGATGGGAACGACTAGAGCAGATATCCGCTTACCTGCTATTAGAAGCAAGTCCCCACAACCGGATGATGTCGACTGCACGTTCGTTCGTGGCTCCATTGCGTATCCAGAAGCACCGGGTGGCATAATGACCAGCAGCTTCACGTCTCGACCTCTACCTTCTCAAGTCCCACCCACCCACCCACAGGGGGCTAACACCCTGCCAGGGTGCCCAGCCAACCAACCCCGCATTCTTGAAATCGATCCATCCCCGATACCGAAGCCGTTCCTTACCATGTCAAGCCCCACCGAGTTCCAGCGTGTCAGGAACCTGTGGCAGACCCGAGTTGGTCGTGAAGTGCCTCCTGCTGTCCAAGAGGTGGCGGTACCTCGCCGTGAGTCTCCGGTGAACAACCAGGTCACCGACTCACCGACACCCCATACTCCAGACTGTCACGGATGCTCGATGGCAGAAACCGAGCAAGTGATCGAGATCGAGATCGACGACGCGACTGCGGTGTCCCCTGTCTCAACGTCATCAACGTTGGATTCTAGCGACTCCCCATCGACGGAGTCACCGGTGTCCGCATCTTCCACCTCCCCGCCGTCATCCGCCGTCAAGTCTCCATCCAAGTCAGTGGCGTCCATGTTCCGAACCTTTTCAGATGCCTGCGTGTTCCCCAGTATCAAAAGCAGACGTCCCCGGGCCCCAACATCAGCACCCCCATCAGCCTCAGCCCCGGTTTTCGTGCCATCGACGTTGCGGTCGTTTGCCCCTCCCATGCCGATCACCTGGAGAGGCGCTCGCTCCATCTCAGACTGTGCAGTGCCGTCAACGAGATCGACGTTCCCGTTCGCGTCGGTGACTTCCACGTCGTCGCTCCTGCCACGAGAAGCTGCTGAGAACGCCATTAACAACGTGTTCAACGTCGGTTCTCGACCCCGACCAGCAGCTGCCAACCCCATTTTCCGTGGCAGTCCGTATGGCGAATTGGTGCTTGTCGATATCTTGGAAACTCGTGGACTGGCTGGGAACCAAGACGCCGTCGAGCTGCCGGTTGTTGTGACGATGCAGCTCAGTCACGTGAGTCACAAGACGATACCGAGTACCGGTCGAGACGATTGCACGGTCAACGAACGCTTTGTCTTCTGGCTCCCGTCGTCACTGACGAATGACCAGCGCCTGTTCGACGTCTTTGTCCATGAAAGAGACGGCCGTGACCTTGGCGAGGTGCATCTCAGCCTCACGATGCCTTTGAACGAGACGTTTACCGACTCGTATCCGCTCGTGAACCGATCCGATGGCCTGAAACGCGGCTCCATTCAAGTGGCAATGCGTCGCCTCGTGCTCACGTCGTCGCCCATGCTGGAAACGGCCAAGGCCTTGAGTGCTCGAGAAGGTTGTTTGAGCCTGAGCGAGCGCAGCGACTATGGCGATGCGTTGCCTGAGCTATGGACCTGCTTTCCAGGCACCACCGACCTCGACTTGGATTCGACTTGCAGTTCCAAGGACGTCGACATCAGTCGCAAACTCGGTCGACTCATTGGCTTTCAGGATGCTGCCCAGCGAGATGTCTTCTGACTCGGGTTTGAAGTGGATCGTCGTTCAAGTCAAGTCAAGTGAAGTAGTAGAGGGAAGTCGCGTGCATCCTGCTGCGTAGGGGATGTGGTATTTGAATACCGCCAGAGCTCTCTCCTGAGCGGGTTCACCGTTGAAAAATAGGTCTATGTATTGTCCTTCGTTACCATGCAGTTTTCGGCTCGACTTCCTCAGGAAACCAGGCGCAGTGACTGCACTATATAGTGTAGATAGGAAAAGCACGAGTCCACTTGCTCTGCTTTACTCACGCGAACGGCTGCAGCAGACACACGTCGCCTCAAGCAATAACCACCACCAGCATCGTCGTCGTCGTCGTCTTCTCACTTAGAACAGACGCTTCTCATACGTGTGCAGCGAGTGGACGTTGCCCTCACGCTGAGCAGCTGGCGTGCGCAACTCGAAGCGGAGATCTCCATTGTACAGTGCACTGTGCATGGCACTCAGATTGGCCTGGCCCAGATCCTGCAGACCGTGCTTGATACCCTGCTGCAGGTACGGCACGTACTTCATGAGCGAGCCCTTGTCCACGACAGAACCACTCACACCTTGCGCGACCTTGACAGTCGCGTGGGTGGCAAAGTAGCGCTTCGACGAGCCCTGCATCATGGCTTCAACTGAGCCCATGCCCCGGTACTTTTTGAGACGGACGCCGTCCTGGAAAAAGTACTGACCAGGAGACTCCTCGGTGCCTGCAAAGAGCGAGCCACACATCACAGCAGAAGCACCGACTGCAAGTGCCTTGACAATGTGACCCGAGCTTGCAATCCCGCCATCTGCAATGACAGGCACGCCAAACTGACGGGCGTAGCGAGCAGTGTTGTACACGGCACTGGCTTGAGCACGACCGACAGCACACACCTCTTGTGTAGTACAGATGGAGCCCACCCCCATGCCAACCTTGAGTCCATCAGCTCCAGCGTCAATAAGACGCTTGCACTGCATCCGGGTCACAACGTTCCCGGCAATGACGTCAATGTCCGGGTACGTGGCTTTGATCCACTTGATCAAGTCCACCTGGAACGTCGAGTCGCCCTGTGACGAGTCAATCACAATGAGATTCACGCCAGCTTTCACCAGCTCTGCACAGCGTTCCCGGTCGTTCGGACGCGTGCCAATGGCAGCCCCAACCAGCAGCTGTTTGTTCCCGTCCTTGGACGCATGGGGAAAGTCACGGTTCTTGACAAGATCCCGACGGGAAATGAGCGAGACGAACTCGCCCTTGGCATTCACAATCGGCAACTTGCCCTTCTTGCTCTCCCGCAGAATGCGGTTCGCTTCCGTCAGCGACACGCCTTCCGGGGCCGTCACCAAGTCCGTGGACATGACTTCCTTGAGCTTCGTCTGACGGTCTTCAACAAAGTCAATGTCGCGATTACTCACGATACCCACCAGGACACTGCCGACTTTGCCGGATTCCGTGATGGGGATGCCAGCAAAGCCAAACTCGGCTTTGATGTGGTCCACATCAGACAACGTGTCCTCGGGCGAGAGACACTTGGGGTCGCTAATGAACCCGTTCTTGAACTTCTTGACCAGCCGCACCTCCTTCACTTGCTCCTGGACCGTCATGTTGTAGTGGATGATGCCAATGCCGCCGTGCAAGGCCATGCCAATGGCCATCGCGTGCTCCGTGACCGTGTCCATCGGCGACGACACGAGCGGCAGGTGCAGCGAAAGGTGGCGCGACACTTTCGTCTCGAGGCGGACGGCGTCGACGCCAAAGTTGATGTGGCCCGGCATGAGGATCAGGTCGTCGTACGTGTAGGCTTGGCCCTGGTTCTTGTTCACGAAGAGCGACGCGGCGGTGTGGCCGTCGAGCAGCTCGGGGTCCATGAGCACGGGGGAAGCCATTGATTGAGCGGGTACGGAGGGTACGGGGGGGGTACGGACGGGCGTAGCAGGGAGGCGGCAAATGGGCGAGTGGTGCTGCAGGTGGCGGCGCTGTGGAGGCCAACGGTTTTTGGATGCTTTAATGACCAATGAGAGGGGACGAGGGACTGTCAAAGAAGACGCTTTTTGTGTGTGTGGGAGGGGCGCTTTTTTTGGTGGTGAAGAGGCAGATGATGGATTTAGAAGTACGAGATCGGACAGAAGTGGGTGCCTTGAGGTGATTTCAGATCTGGTGGCAGTTGAAACATGGTCTGTCTGATTTGACATGCTGGGTGGGTGGGTGGGTGAGTGGGTGTTTTTTACAGCTGCAAACAATGAATAGCATGTTGAAGCAATGATCGAATAGTACGGAGCTTTTCATGGCAGGTGTACAAGAGCCCTCCTTACCAGTACTTTGTCGGGTGTATGACAAGTGATAACATGGCATGCTTCGCCAAGCTCGGAACTTGTTCACTTGGTCAGCATGCAGTTCCTTAGTCGCTCTAAGATGATAAAAAGCATTGCTTGGCGCACAGAGAATTGGACAATCTTTGATGGACGTGGACTGTGGTGTGACGACAAAAGTCCTGACGCAACTGTTTCCACGCACTGCGCATTGCGCTGTGCGCTTTTGTCAGGTTTGTGAGCGAGTTGACCACCGAGCGCAACTCACCTGCGGCACACAACACTCCAGCAGCGTTTGTGATTGGGGTTAGAGGAAATGCTGGAGCGTACGCGATCTTGTGGACATTATACTTGCTGACCATCGTAAGGAAGACACATGAGATAATCCAAAGACGAGAGGCGGCCATAGTACTTCACGACCAGGAGAGCGACTTCGTGAAGCTAGACTTCCGATGTGTCGTTGTGTCCCTTGATGAGCATGTTTTCGCTCCGCAAATGTTACTTTGCTGTGGCCACGCTACTAAAGCCGAGGCAAACACAAGTGGACTTCAACGGCCCGCTTGCACAAACTCGTTGCCGAAATGGTTCCAGCGGATGGCCACAAATCCCGCATCGCGAGAATCGACCGCATGGATAACAGTCACAGAGCAGTCCCAACATCGGGCTACTGCGTCCCTTCTTCTGCTTGTACGGGAAGAATGACGTAGATCGAAGTTATCCAGCAACCTCACCTGCTTCGTTGCCATGTTCCACTTCGAACAGATATGACCCTTTACAGACTCCGACGCTCCTGATGGCGCCGCAGTCGCGCCCGTCGTTCAAGATCAGGCTGAGTTGCAACGTGGCCCTCAATCTCAAGTAGCACGGGGCCTTGTAACCGTGAGAGGACTTGTGCAAAAGTCGGACGTCGCGCAGGAACATCGCGGAGACAATCTTCAATGAGCCTGCGACGCTCGGGCAGGCAACTCGAGGGCAACGATGGACGCAGTCCCTTGTGTGCCACCCGCATAAGTACCTTCAATCCTGTCTCTTCTTGATCGTGGTACGGAGTATGGCGAGTCTCAAGCTCCGTGAGTACGATGCCAAATGAATAGACGTCAGCCTCTGGACCATATCGCTCACTGCGGATGATCTCGGGAGCGAGCCAAAACGGGGTACCAACGAGAGTTGTAAGCGCGTCGACACCCTTCTTGTATCGGCGACTGAGGCCGAAATCACCTACTTTACAGCCGAAGGTAGCAGAGCAGAGGATGTTAACACTTTTCAGATCACGATGGACCACCGGACGTTCTTGCGAGTGGAGATAAAGCATGCCTTGCACAGCATCAACCGCCATCTTGAGCAGAGGATCTACCCACGTAAAGTTCTTTCCCAGTCCCGAGTGCAGTACACGGTGCATGTCACCATTCTCCATATACTCCATCACGATGCATAGATTGGACGCGTTGTCCCAGCTTGCACCTATGAACTGAACAATATTCGGATGTCGCAGGCACGACATAAGCTCAATCTCATCACGGAAACTAGCCAACGCGCTATCAGCATGAGACACATCCCGGCTTTCATTTCGATCCCGGCCTCTACCGGACTCAACGATGTATTCTCGACGCATGCGCTTACAGACGACGATGGTGCCGAAATATCGAGCCTTGATGACGTCGCCCATTGATCCACGACCAATGGCCTGAAGAAAAGTAAGATCAGCAAATGGGATGTGGAGCATTTCAAAATGGCACATCTCTGGTGCTGCGAGTATCCGGGCAACTTCACGTTCTTCATCCGCGTGAGCAGCATCGTTCTGCAATGCTGCCTCAGCTAGTTTAAGTGATGATTTGAGGTTCTCATTCTCTTTTTCAACTAAAAAGTTTGAGAGAAAAGAACGGCGGTTCGTGCGGTCCAACGAGTACGACAGGATAAGCAAGAGTATGACCGCCGTACCATAGGCAAAAGTAATAAGCCCCTGCAACTGGAGACCGAAAGCGCTCACCACACTGGCATAGGTAGCGGCTCCAAAGACTGCCACAACTACAACTTGAACGAACTCCAGCCGAATAGATATCACGAACAAGAAGCTGAACAGCGACACAAATCCCACGAGCGTTTGTACCAGTGCGTCTGAGCACAGATAGGTCACGCGTATGGCCAAATCTCTTTGTTTGCCCTTGAGGTAAGCCAGAGCGCTATTGACCGTGTCGCTGGTCAACCCGTCATCGTTGCCGCTCAAACTTCCGTTAACACCCCCAAACATAGACATGAGTTCTGGGTTCGTAGCTTTGCAGGACAAATGGTCGTGGACAGCAGTTGCGAATGAGTTGCTGGCGAGGCGACTAGCATCTGCTAGCCATATCTGAAACGTCAGGTTGAAAAAGATGACAATAAAACATACCCAGCTGCGCCAGCGTGTCTGAAACGGATTGTACTTGTTGGGCAGCACAGCAAATGGCAGCGCGATCGGTATGTAAATCCACTGGAAGAACGTCGGCACGGAATCGTACGAGAGCATAAACTGCTCCATGCCGGCAAATCCAGACCTCGGAACCGTGTAATACGAAAGATTCACAAACAAATGCACAGCCATCCACACTGCAACGTGCCAGCGGGCCCGTCCAAGCCAGTAAATTGCAGTAAAGTCTTGGTACAGTGCCTCAAGCTTCGGGTCCAGGAAAAACCTCGTATACTTGTTGAACACTTGTGGGTCCGGCTTTACCAGCACGGCATCGATGTACTGCACGGTAGCGTCATCCACATCCAGTAGCGTCCTTTCTTTCCCATCGTTACTGCCAGATTTTCTTCGACTTGCTTTTGCACATCGATGTCTCCGTCGCTCTTGCTGTCGTTCTCTTCGTCTCTCTCTCCATTCCTCTTCCTCACTATATTGACGATAAGCACCAGCACTGGACATCTCCACGTGCCACTCACCTGCCGTTTGACAAGAAGACACTTCTTTCACAGCAGGCTGCAAAGGAGCGACGAAGCCGACGTTTTTCATACCTCCTCGAGGTCTTTTCCTATCTTTTGGTCTCGACAGTGATACACGACGCAGCTCCGTATCCTTCTGCTGCCCTTTATGCCTCCAAAGTTTTCCTTCTTGGTCCTGAGACGCGCAGAAAATACGCCCACTCTCATAAGAAGTACCAGCAGCAATATCATCTGAAGTAGCAGCAGTAACAGCCGCTGCCATGGCGCTATCGTCGGTATCTGCCGCTCCACTGGACGATCCACGACCTCCAACGACTTGGCTTTTCCGTCTCGACACTTCCTCGTACACTCTTTCCATCCGGTACGCGGCGTTTCGCTCGCTACGGCCTCGAGAGCGACACGCAGTCGGTCGCACTGGAAACGTTTCGAAAGCTGGAGATGGCGCGGCTTCTACTGCATCTTTAGCGCCCGCAGAAACCACGTTAGAGGCACAAGATGCAGCACAAGATGATCCAGAGTCAGGCACAGCAGCACACGCGGTTCCCTGCCGCTGGTGAGCGTTTAGCAGCTCCGACAGCGCGTTCTTCCGCGGCATCCTGCAGGCGGTTGGGCTGTTCGGATAGATCGTGGACTTTCAGCCAGTCAGCAACGTCGCTGAAACGTTTCAGCGAATAGAAACAGTGTTGATGGCATCACGATTCTGTTTCTCATACATGGCTACAACGAGCCATTGCCTCCGCCGAGCAGTAATACACACACACGCAATTTAAAATACGCACGATTTGTACACAATCCCCCCCCCGAAGAGAATTTGAATCGACCCTTTTTTTCCGTCTAGTCTTCGACTCCTCCTCTTTGTCGCCATTTCTATACTATCCTGTCTTTTCACCGATAAGGACCAAGCAGTGACAACCACAACCACGTCATAGTGAAATGAAGACGACGACAAGCGAGAGACGCGAGGCCTCGACCTCGACCTCGTGGTCGCTCCACCCCGTGCGGTTCATGCAGCTGGCCCTGGCCGCCACCGTTCTCCTCTCCCTGTCCTACATCTGGCAGTTCGCGATGGAGAGCGTCGCGTCTCCAGCCACTGGAGTGGAAGTCGAAGCGACTGGCGCAAACAAAGCCACGGCGCAGCTCGTCCCGGCGGCAGACGGGGCTGTGGTCGTCCAGCGAGACCGGTCCCGTGCCCACACTCAGTACGTGGTACGGGGCTTCGAAGCTGCGCACAAGTTCGTGCGCGAGCACGACGTGGAGACCCAAGGGCCGCTGTTCCTGCTGTTCGTGAGTGACACGGGCGTTAACGGCACGTATTGGTTCCATCCCTGCCAAGTGGTCAAGGACGTCGTGGTCAAGAGCTTCGAGCGCGCGCCTCGTGGCTCCCGATTGGTGGAAATTCAAGTGGGCTCGCAGAGCTACTGGAACGATATGATGAACCCATTTCGCCAGAACCAGCTGTTTTACATTGACTATTTACCGACCCTGGTGCGGTATGACGGCGGTGGCAATTCGTCGGCGTTGCTTGCTGGACCCAATTGTATGAACCAAGACCTGCTTGATGTGGTGTTCCGAGTGAGCGCACCAGCGGCAGGCGCTCCGCACAACAACCGCGTTGTGCACTGCAACGCGGCGGACCAGGTGATGGATTTCCTCGCTCTCTACGACTTTAGCTACCCGTTGTTTGTGTTTTTCGTATCGGGCGTGCACAATTTCAACAATCGGCTGTGGTGTCCGTTCTGCGATAAAGCTGAGGTGCCGGTTATGCACTACTTTAACTATACGGCGCCGGACAATGCGGTGATGCTGCGGATTGTTGTAGCACGCACTCCGCATCAGTGGTTTGATGAAGCCAACGACTTTGTCGGTCCCGAGTTTGGCGACAAAGTGCTCGTGTTTGACGGCGTGCCCTATTTGGGCTTTGTCGATCGAAACCAGACCAACAACAAGGTCAAGCTGCGGGAGTTTGTGGATGGCATGGACGAGCATCGAAAGTTGCAAGCGTTTTTCCGACAGAAAGCGCCAGTTGCACCTGTCGCCCCGGTAGCCAAACCACGTTTGTTCAAATACAAGTAGATGTTTTGCAGCTTGTGAGCGACTTGACGAGTGGTTTACTAGAAGTGTACGTATTCGCGTCACGTCAGAGCCAGACGGAACATATGTAGACTCAACATCCAGCTTCATTCGATCCTGGCTGCTTGTTAGCTGGCACTGCAGTACTGCACACCAGAGCCAAGACGTGAGGTAGTTACCGGGTACCTCGACTCCTTGGTCTCACTACAATGTGATCCCACCTCTGATTTTGCCTCGCTGAACTTCGTCCACCTTCACTGACTACCAAGCTGACCACCGTCTGAATTGAAGGGGAATGTCCTGATTGACAAGTCAGTGTAAATGTCGCTCTTGAAGTGCGAGCGGCTGTAATTGGCTGAAACGCAGCGCGAGAAGCGAGTGCTTGGAACGTGCAAAGAACGGATCGTGCAAACAATCGCATCAAACACTTTTTTCAGCCGCTTTTTTATTGAGCCGCCGAGTAAAGCACATGTTTTGTGAAGGACTGAAGCAATCTGGCTGATAAGTTGCACCCAAAAAAACGCACGATTGAGTCCATTCGTCGTAAAACAATGGTAAGTCAAAGGGCATTATTTATAGTTTTACAATACCCAGATCTGGTAACGAATCTGACAAAAAAACGATCCAGCTTTGTTTCGCACTTGCGGCGCTAAACTAACAGCTGGTTTCAAATGGCAGAGATTTGAGTTGGGCTCTGTCCCGCGCAGGAGGAAGCGGGATGGGACGCAGGATACTGCGGGACGCGATCATGAACATTCTACGCTGCATATATATCGTAACGATGAGATCTGTAGACACGTTTCCGCACCTATATGCGTTGAAGGTTTAAAGAATGAGAAATATAGTTGGACGGTAAAATTCTTTTCAATGTGATCATTAATTACCTGCTACAACAAGGGTAGAAGCTAAATGCCTTATCCGCTCGACTCTAATCGGTGCTGCTGATGGCAGACTCATGCAAGAATGGCTTTGGATTTAATGTGGTGGTAACGACATTGCTAAGATCTACCATAAAACCTGTAGTATTTGCTGGTAGTTGGTGTGAGATGAACTGCAAAGTGAATGTATTTAGGTCCTTACTTCGCAACTTCTTCTTGCTACTCTAAGCCTAATGGATTTTCCGACTATACAATAGTAATCGACACTAAACGCACTACTCATTCGATAGTCGCGCATGAGTAACCACGAGTAACCATGTTACTCATATTACTCATGGTATGGGCGCATGAGTAACCACGAGTAACCATGTTACTCATATTACTCATGGTATGGGCGCATTACCGATCGCCGGACCGTACCTTTAGTTTGTTGCTTGCTGGCCGAGGTGTTTCTTTTACGACAAAACCAACATCAATGCATTCAAGTTTTAGTGAGTAGCGACGTCTTGAAGCGTGTTTTCGGCCAAAATATTGAGTTATTGCGATTGCTCGTAGGCGGCTTTGACGTTCGTTGGAAGAGTCCGATCTCTTGGCCAGGCTTATGAGCAATCGATTTACTGCTACAAGAAACTCACCTTCACCATGGGTTCAAGTCGCGAGGACCCAGTAGGATAAGGATGTCCATCGGATTGTCGCTAAGGACACCAAATCCTCTTTACAAGCACTTAGAATACTTGGATGCATGCCTGAGCAGAAAGGTCAAAAATGACAGTGAATACTGAATTTGACAAGATATACATGTAAAATAGATGAGTCTCTCATTTTATGCTCTCTTGGTCCCCATAGAATTTTATGATCGTAGAAAATCAGTTAATCTCGACGTTGCATGCCAAGATAATTGAAGATTGCGGGATGTGCAAGACGCGTGGGATGGAACCGCCTCATCCTGCGTCCCGTCCAGCGCAGGACGGGGTGCGGGTTCCCGCGGGATGGGACGTTGCGGGACGGAGTTCTAGATTTAAGTACACACAGGACGATGCTGACGTCCTATGTGCAATGCATGCCTCAGATCAGCGCTATACTCACTCATGGTAATGCAATGTACGTAGAGCGCTAGTCGGTAGCGATAGAAGGTCACGAAAAAGACCCACGTTTGCGCTTAAGAAATCGAGCGATACGTCCTAAAGACTACAAATCCAAATTGAGACGGTGGTGACGAGAGCAACAGCAAGTGGAAGTCAAAAAGAATTCGTCGAGGCCATGAATGTAACAACAGCACCGCGCTTTGACACTTGAATGGGAAAAGAATGTAAAAAAGCTCTTAAACGGCAAGTTGGCGCTACAATGAAGAGAGTGAAGAGCTGGTGAAGCAGGATGGCGTATGCGAAGAGGCTGGCACTTCTCAACAAAAAGCAGCAATTGCAAACGGACTGTTAGAGGTTCAACATGAACACAATGGAAGCATTTGAGGATTTCACCTCGTAATTCTTCTGCTAAAAGAGGTTGAACATGTAAACTGAGCACGGATAGGGAGCGCGGTTTGTCGTGATTGACTCCATCATCGCCGCGTCGACACCTTTGAAAAAAAAGCTGCGGGTATGGCTTACCAAGCGCAATCACGTGTGAGAGAAGGTTGAATTGAAAATGCTGGACGCGAACGGGACCGCCAACATTGCATTGCTGTATCCAGGCGTATCAGCTATGATAGTGAGGTCCATAGAGGACGGTCGGCAAACTCGAAGGAGGAATAGGGACGTGAGATTTCTGACTGTGGTTGGTAGAGTGTTGTATAACTGTCCGGTGTACAATATCAAAATGTACATTTGCCTTGCAGCGGGCAAGCGATAGCGCCACATCAGGTTGCTGGTGCCTTGCGTGGAAGATCAAGAGGCACGACTGGGTGCAAGTTCGACACGGATCCCCAACACGATCGGTTGAAGTTGCAACGCTGCCTGGCTAACAACTACAAACCTGTGAGCATGCCGTGCTGATGGACAAAGAGGTTAAGCAGGCGGCTTTGCAGGATGCAGCTCACAAAAGCTATATTTGTGGATGGGCTGAGCTCACCGCGGGGTCCATATTGACCGCCAAAATGCTTCTGACGTCGAATTCTGGGGCAAAACCAGTTTCAACATAAAGCTCTTGGACAAGATTAAGGTCGACACACAGGCAGCATTCGAGCAAGCTCAAGGCTGAGACGTGCAAAGCACACGATACTCCGTGCATGTCCCTAGAGTATGTAGTGATGATCAGGAAGAGTCGGACAGAAAAGAGAAGCACGGACCTCGAAAAATAGCAACATGACCCTTTATCGCTCAGACGCAAATCCCAATTTTACCGCGACCATCTCGTTGTATCAAAAAGACCACGACGAAACCCCGACTGCAAAATCCCACCACCAAATCCTCCAAAGCAGCTTATAACCCGAGCAGCCAGTCACCCATCCACCCAATCCCTGAACCCAGAGCTCAAAAAACCCAAAACATGCCCTTTCAACTCGTCCATTCCTCCAGCCAACAGTTTCCAACCTCCTTCCCAGAGCCGCCATGGCGATGATGAAGCGGAGGCGCGAGCAAGAGACTGGCGCCCAGGCGGACGCGGCCGATGCCGCCAAGAAGCAGAAGCTCGCGACAGCTGGTGGCAGCAAGTACATCAACAAACAGCGCGTGCTCGTGTTCTCGTCACGCGGCATCACGACGCGCTACCGCCACCTGATGGACGATTTCCGGAAACTGCTGCCGCACCACAAGCGCGAGGTCAAGTTGGACGCCAAGGACACGCTGCACGTGGTGAACGAGATCGCCGAGATCAAGGGATGCAACACGACCATCTTCATGGAGGCCCGCAAACGCCAGGACCTCTACATGTGGGTCAGTCGCGTCGGGACGGGGCCCAGCGTCAAGTTTCTCGTCCAGAACGGTAGGGTAATGGTTGTTTGAACCCATGTATTTGGTCTTGAAGCGTCGTGATACGAAGTGGTTGGATGCTATGTAGTGCACACCATGGACGAGCTGAAGATGACGGGCAATGCCCTCGCTGGCTCTCGACCTTTGCTGACGTTTGACAAGACTTTTGACGAGATGCCGCATCTCCAGGTGATCAAGAAACTGTTTACCCAAGTGTGGGGTACGCCAAAAGCGCATTCGAAGAGCAAACCGTTCATTGATCGGGTCATGAGCTTTTACTATGCGGACGGCAAAGTCTGGTGCCGCAACTACCAGCTCGCAGACGACGCGGATACCAAGAAGGCCGAGCTCGCAGCTTTGCACCGTGGCGAGGACCTCGTGCAGCTCATTGAGATTGGGCCGCGCTTCGTCCTGACTCCCATTCGCATCTTTGACGGCAGCTTTGGCGGCCAGACGCTGTTCCAGAACGAGCACTACGTGTCTCCAAACGAGAACCGCCGTGATGCCAAGGCCGACAAGCGCGACCGCTACGTGTCTCGCAAGGTTGCGGGTGTCGAGCGCACGGACCGAGAACCGGAGCGGGAGATGCCAGAGGACCAATTTGCGGACGTCTTTGCTGGTGTCAAGCACTGATGGGTCCAATTAGCAGAGAAATGGCTACAAAACGATCGACGCATGTGCTCAACAGCTACGTGATCCTTTCATAGACCGACTTTGCCCAGCTGTTTTGTTTGCAAGTGTGAAATCGCGTCTTCTTTTGTCTGATTGGCTATAAATCGTCCCATTTGGCGCCCCCAGCACGAGGGACACGGATCCGCGTCGGATGAAGGCGTTCAACACGTGGCGGGGCGCTGACGGAGCTAACAAAGGCGCGAGTGACGCAGTCGCCGAGCTCCAGCAAGTGATCGTGAAGAAAGACCGGATGATCCTCAGTCTGCAGACGCAGCTGGACGCCTATGCCGCACGCTTTGGCGCGCTGCCGAGGGACATTTTGGACCAATGGGAGCAGGCAAATGCTCCTGCCGAGAACCCTAGCCGCGGAGTGAATTGTACGAGGACTGAAGTAACAGCAGCAAGTGACACAAAGCGGCTGCGAGATGGGACACCAAATTGGAAGGTGGACACGAGTGCTACTTCACCAGTATCAAGGAAGGTTCAAGTCGATTGCGACCTGGACGAGAGCCAGGAAAATGGACCGAAAAGCTGCTCGAGCACGAATGTGGTACTGGACTTTGTGGAAGACTCGCCCATGTTTCGGTGTCAAGTAGAAGGATTCGAAGAGTCGATCACGGGTCTTCGAGCGCTACTTAAGGAGCTCGTGACGCACTCGAAAGAGTACGCAGCTGCTGGCAAACATTTTGGCGCAAAAGAGACAGCACTGGCAGACGAGTTGGTCCAGCGCAAACACGCGCGTGCTATTTTTTCTACTAGTTGCTCCGAATTGGGGAGTTTGTCCGACCTGTTTGGTGAGATGCACGACACGTTGGCCCAGGTGCAGAGCTCTCGGGTGAGCATGTTGCTCGGTGTGGAGTCCTTACTGAGCAGATTGATCCAGCAGTTCCTGGACCAAGACGTACTGAAGGAGGCGGGCGAGCGGCGGAAAGAGGTGACGAAGCTAGGAGAAGAGTACGAAACATTGCTTGGCAAGTTGTTGAGTAAACCCAGGCAGCCAGGACAGGCATATGACGGGACAGGGACTCCTACTGGCTGGGGGGATTTGACTGGACTGCTTGGTCTCGGCAGTCCTGTAGTGCCGGTAGGAAGCCACACTGGAGCTTCCGATGATGGTATTACCACGAGAACGCCAGCAGCTTCAGCAGCTGTGGTTGGCAATGGCAGCAATGTCGTACACCCAGATGCAGGAAAAACAACTAGTGAGAAACATCAGCGGGCGCTCGAGCGAGACGTGTTGGTAGCAAGGCGTAAGTTTGAATTAGCTCGCTTCGACTTAGTTCGTTGCCTGAATCGGATTGACTGGATGAAGAAGTTCGTATTGGTGGAATGCTTCAATTCTATAATGTATGCGCAGCTGGGACACTTTCATGCGTGTCACGAGCTTGTCAAGTCCGTGGAGCCGACGCTACGTAAACGTCAAGAAATGATGCAAGTCTCACGCCAAGGTTTCGAGCGTGACGAGCTGATGTGGACATCACAGCGAGATTTGCTCGACACTCGATTATCGCAACATGTGGACATTGTTAGCTCTAACCTCGAGTCGATTGAACATGTGCCTGATTCATCCGATGTGGCGAGTGATGAGTTACTCATTTCTAGTGAATCATTTCTATCGCTTGACTTGCCCGTTGAGGTGATTTCGCTCGACACCTCGATGAGCAGAGAGACTTTGGCCACTTCGCCTGATGGTGCTGCAAAGCAAGGCTACTTGTTCGTTCGCAACTCGATGTTTCCAGCGAGAAGTTGGAAACGACGTTGGTTTCAGATTCATGCAGGCAAGCTGTTCCAGACTACATGTCGTAGTGGTGGTGGAAAGCGTTCTACGGAAAGCAGTTTGACCCTCGTGTGTAATTTGTTACTTGCCCGGGTCCGTGAACTGGAGAGTTCAAGTCTACCTTTCTGTTTTGAGGTCATCGATGCAAATCGCTCGGCAAAGCTTTTACTGCAGGCAGCTAGCACTCGTGATATGGTCGAGTGGATCGAGGCTGCACGCCGCAGCACTGAGAACGCGCTCGAAAAGCAAAGCCACCGCCAGGAGGTGCATCCAAAGCAACAGTCCATCATTGATATGTTAACGAAAGCAAGCCCGTGCTGTGCGGATTGTGGACAAGAGCCAGCTGAGTGGGTATCAATTAACATCGGATGTCTCTTGTGCATCGAGTGCTCGGGCATTCACCGCAGTCTTGGTGTGCACGAATCCAAGGTACGATCATTGACCCTCGACTCATGGGATATGGCACTCCTCACTCTACTCCAAGACGATCTCGGTAACGATGCAGTGAATGCGGTATGGGAGCACACTATTCCTGATGGCTGGACCAAGCCGACGCCTACGGCGTCCTGGGTCGAAAAGGCCCAGTTTATCAAGGCTAAGTATCATTTCCATAAGTTTGTCGAGCTGGACAGGACATTGGATGCACCGAAGGGCAATGATAGCATTATGAAGCGAGATTTGGCCAAGCGGTTCATCACAGGAGCTTCGCGTGGGAATGTGAAAGAGCTGATGTGGTGCTTAGCGCATGGAGTAGACATTAATGTACGCGCGGGTGAACAGAATGAAACGGCTCTACACGTGAGCGCTGCTGCTGGCGCTGTAACTTGTTGTAACTATCTTGTGGTTAATGGTGCGAGTCTGACGATAACTGATAAACGGGGGCGCTCGCCATACGACGCAGCGAATGCTGAAGAAATTAAAGTCGCACTAATGCAGAAAATGAATCTCGAGCAGCATCAGGTGTAAAGTGGTACTCAGTAGCAGCAAAGACCATACCATCGATCGACCCTTGTGAGGCTGAGCAATTCACAACAGTCACTTGTGTTGGATTAATTTACCGTTCAACGATCTTGTTGGGCAAGACCTTTCGGTGGAGAATCCAACGTGATACAGGACTAGGCTCGGTATGCCGAACCCGCTTGACGTAGCGCGCTATCTCGCTCCGGGTTTTTGAAAGCGCGCTGGTCTGCCGGGAATGTCAACGTTTCCTCCGATACGTGCTTTCGTTAGAAGTATTGTGGTGTTACTCAGCTGATTAGCAAGAGATTACGTTGTTGCACTCTGGAAGATCTCGGCAATGGACTAGGAATCTTCCTGAATGAGCCACAAGGGCGCTACGCTGTGTACAACTATCTCACTGGTAGTGTAAGAATACAAACGTGGCTGTGTCGATGTTCTGAGCGAGCACGACATTCACGCGTTCAATCGAGTATTCGAGACAGGGTATTTCACCATCGATCAGTCCGTCGTATGTTTGGATCGGTGAAGCTCTAGCCCTTTCGGTAGTGGCCGAATATGATGCTTTCTCCATTTCTGCGTCGAACTTGGTGGAGTGCTGCTGCCCCGGTACCTCTTGTGCATGCAAATTTCGGATACGACGGCATCACACATCTGCTATCGTCCTCTCCGCGCACTCAGTATCCACGAGTTCTCATGGTTTGCCTTTCGTCTGCAGCGGCTAGATCGGTACGAGTCATGACAGTATAGATCTAGCATTGGAAACACGTGCACATAGTTGATTGGACCCAGCTGTGATGTCCCTTGGACGCAACCCGACTAAGCAACTGTTTGGACTCGATTTCCTCCCGTGAATGTGGTCTCTAACCAACAACTAGCGCGTAACCGTTGTGATCTTGGGCAAGAAGAATGTATGCACAGACAATAATCAATTACTGAGCGAGGAATTGCATTGGCGCTGCTGATACTATGCAATTTGTGAATGCTCGTTACATACCAGCTCACACCCATGTAATGTACAAATCGATACGTATGCGCTTGTCATCTGAGTCGGTCCGGTAGAAAAGCCTTGTTTTGGCAGAGTGCTAATACCAATAGACACCAGCCAAGATGTAATCAGCAACAAGCATGTGGTTTCGATAGCAATGATGTCATGTGGAGCAAGAAGAGCTGATACAACTACTGTTGCCAGCATCGCGAGATGTCCTCATGGCTTTTAATCATGCGCGGTGAATGCTGTGGTCACAACATGGTATATACTTTACCCGAACCACTTGAAGCTGCCAGCAAGAGTGACGAGATTGAAGCACTGCGAAAAACTACATTTGGACATTCTCAGCGTCAGTGGGACCTAGCTTGAAGTGAATGGGCCTTAGTTCTCACAACCTAGCAGGAGCTAGGGGGCCACAACTGTACCGTTATGTTGGAAAGCTTACGCTGTAGAAACCAAAGGGATCTCAACCCTCACGGGTTTGTTGGAAACGCTTTCGCTGGAGGAACAGCTCCTTTGTAAGTGCAACAACATATGTATCCTTTACGAGATCCAAACTCAAGGTATGCTTGTAATACGCCTTATCCGTCGCAGGTACTAATTTACACCGTCGAGCATCAAAGGATGACTCATTAGTCCGCCAGTCACCAGCGTCATCAACTCTTTTAGCGATCTCCTGTCGTAGATTCGTGTAGTATCGGTTGACTTGGCATTACTGAGCAATTTAGGAACGAATGAGCAGAACGTGTAAGGTAACGGACAGCGTAGACGTTCTCGCAAATTGCTCATAATTCGATATCCGACAGCTGCAAACACACCCCTTGTACCACACAGACGAGCTTTAGGTGGTGTAGGTAAAAGCTAGATAGCTCCGTTTACGAGTCTTCACACAAGCTGATTTCACTATGCTTGTATGATCGATGCTACAGATGCTGGTGAACTTTTGGCTCGACTAATCGCTGACTACGTGAATTGCAGATGCTCTGGTAAAAGAAATTTCGGCATCCCAACTTGGAATCTGATATGCTCCGGGTACCTTTCCCATCCGGCGACATTTTGGAATGATCAAATGCGCTTTGCCACCCCAGAAACAATTTATTAATTTACCACCAATAGTAATGCAGCAACAACTGCAAAAGGAAACTTGTTGACCTTCATTCTGGTTTCCTTCAACACTCATCGGCAGCATGCCGCCGGGCACAACATTCAGTGCATTCTAACTTTTGCCGTCAACTACCTCTGTTGTCCATCCAGACATAACGAGGTCAACAGGCTGTCCCTCTTCCAGCCAAGGTCTATCATTCTGATATATCAAATCTAAAGGTCGATTCAAAATTTACCATTCCACTACCATCGCCATGGAATGGAAAGAAGATGAAGATTACGTCAGGTACATGATTTTCATGTGCCCTGCAGAGGAAGGGATCCCTGCAGATACAGCTAAAATCGAGATCACGTTATATAAGTCGCGCCAAATTCGTGGATTTTATACATCACATGATACTATTGATCTGCACGCTGGAACGCCAGATAACGTGGATCAATGCACTGTGACAAGAAAATCGATGCGCAAACCATCGAGCGCTCGCATTGACATCAAAAGATTGGATCGAGACGGTCGCAACCGAGTTTTCTTGATCTTGATGCGAGCACACAATGCTAAATGATGAAAACGTTTCACCGATGCTCTAGCCAAGCCAAGTCAAACAAATCGTCATTTAGTGTTTCACGATCCTACTAAAGACGAGTCGCGTTTAGCGGTGGGTACTTTTACCGCATGCCAATGTGGATATTAATGTTCTCTTGAGGTATACATTACAACTCTCATTAGCAGTAGAGAACAATTAAATTTCTGCTGCATAACGCTGCAGCAAGAACCGCGTTAGCGATCATTTGACGGAACAACGCCAGCGGACAACATGCACTCTTCCTCCAGCTACCAAGGCTCGACAGAATGAATTTTGTGTGAATCATGGCTCACATAAATATGGTTTGTACTCAGCACTTTAAGTCGTAGACTATCTTTCGTCTGGGCTAAAGTTCCTACAAACAAACAACTAACTTAACAGCACTAAACCGTAGTGACACGACACGCTCTCTACTTCATCCGCAGAGAGAACAAATAACTACAGAAATACCAAAGTGGACGTGCCTGCGTTCGGCTGGAGTCGCAGTTCTCTTGGACACTTCGTGCGAAGACTTGCTAGTCGATCGCCACATCCGCTGACGGAATTGGCCGCGAAGCAGTGGTCGTTTAAATACACAAACCGTACTGCAAGAGTCGGAATGCGCTGGACCGGCAAGCAGCGGGACTCAGACGAAAATCTCATAGTCACTTCTGGACTGTTGCGAATCCATTGACCTGACCCAAGCGTTGATGTCATCGATTTCATCATCGTTGTCCATCCTAGGATCGATATCGAGCGAGGCTGAGATCTGGAAGAGCTGACCCAGATCCAAGATATGCTTTGCGTTTGTACCGCGCTTGAAATATGTTATGGAAGAGTCACGCATGCCTGACGCAGGTGACTGGCTTACAAAACTGCTGTCCGACATGTTCACTGTGTCCGCATTGAGCGTCCTGGAAATGCGCCGTGAGAACCTGTCGAGCTGTTTGTCCATTACGCGGAGACTGACGACGCAGCGTACGCAGAACTTTGTTCGACAGATGACTGGATCGCTGCTGTATCCCTCCACCGGATCAACGATGCCTGGCACGGCTCGAACGACGTAGCAAGTCTTGCATACGATATCGCCACACAATCGGCAGTGGTGTCGTCGTCGATTCACGAAATGGAATTTACGACTGCAGATGCTGCAGGAAGGACGGCATTCATCCGGAACCCAATTCTTGTGGGGAGCTAACTTTTGCTTGGCAATGTTCTGCGAATCGATTACCAGCGAAATGTCGTTGAGGACAGCCATCTTGAGTCGGTACTGAGCGAGAGCAACAAGCGCCGATTCATTCGCCTCAATAGCACCCATGACGAAAACCTCCGAGGTTGTCTTTGGTTCATCTTCTGCAGGTGTGATCAGCGTCGTGCGCTTCATCCGCACACGCGTTAGCTTCATCGATCCTGTGAGCTCGGGGCACTCCGGTACGTCCACTGAGGCTAGTGCGACAAAGCCGATTTCCTGTCCATCGGTATCGGTCGTGTACCCCGTCATCTCGACAAAGCAAACATCGCGCTTGCCTGCAAACGTGTTTTCAGCGAGCCATTTGATGCCCAGGTAATTATCTCTTGTCGATCGAATGTTGAGTAAGACAGCGCCATCGATCACTCCCGGTGAGAGGAGTTTCTGTCGCTGGACAAAGTCCACTGAGTTAGTCGCATAGTGGACATCGACAATGTCGCGGTAGTTTCCTTGAACGCGACCGAAGATACGAGAGGACTGGAGCGGTGGGCACGGATCAAGCGGATTATGGCGTCCAATGGTTGCGCCAACAGTACGGTGGGTGGCGGTCGACATTTTCATGCGACTTTGGACAGATCGTTGGCTGGTCGAGGTACATGTGGATGTACTGATCCGGTCGTCCACCGTGCACGCTGTTGCTCGACTGCTCCTCTTGAGCGTCGTTGCCCAGGACGATGTGGAGCTGAAGGAGTCCACGCCCCGGATTTTGAACGCCTTGAGGTGGCCGAGAGTACCGACGTGGCGCCAGTCCGAGTCGAGTTTGTTGTCGCTCGAGAGCTGCATAGTGCGGGCGAGGACGGCGTCCTGCACCTGCTGCGTCATCATGTTTTCAAATTGCATGGCTTGTGACGCTGTCAGCGACACGGGTGCAAATGCTATCGACGCTGGAGGTGACATTGGCATAGCAAGGGCTTTTGTGGTGCTTACTTGCTGTAAAGTTTGGAAATGGAGAGACAAATGACATGCTCGGGGCTAGTTTGTATGAGCCCCGCTGAGTGGATGTGACAGCACCATTATCGTCCGAATTCGTTGAGACTGACTCAAAGTAACAACAAGACGCATAGTAGGTAGGACGGCTGCTAGCAAGATGAGATTGTTTGGCTCAAAGACCCGGATTCCAAGCCTCAGAGAAGTGCGAGAGATCTACGCCAACATCGTTCGTCAGTGCTTTATCCCGTGATTGTGCTCCAATTATAGGAAAGTCTCAGGTTCTCGCGTGTTCTTTGTCAATGTGTTTACACTCGGCAGTGTTAGCGAATGGAATTCACCGGATTGTTGCCCTTTGGTCGGACCGCAGTAAGCGATGAGCAGCAACGCTCTGAATGTATCACGCGTCGCTTTGCTGCCAGGATTGCATCAGATGAATATGAGCTCCTCTCATCATCTGGCGGTGTCTCTTTTTTATCCCTCGGCGTGGAAAGAGCCTATTCTTCATCGCTCGTTTACACGTAAGTGCGAGTGTATACTATTTCGCGCCACCTCACCACGCCAGTGCATCTACAATCCTATTGTTTGGAACGCCCGACCACGATGCCGGATCCACAAACCGAGAAAAAAGACGGCCTGCGCAAATCGATCCGAGACACAATCGACAGGAAGCTTACTTTGTTCGCTGTGATTGAGGCTCACGGCTGGAAGCACGGTAGCAATCCACTAAGATAGCAGACTCGCGCGCTCTCAAGGTAAAGATAGTACACTTCGAGCTCAAGCAAGTTTACTGTCAAGCACAACCAACCAAGAAGGCGACGGAAAGAAGCGGCTGTTGGAAAAGGATGCCGAATGAAGAATTTCTACACAGCGGCTCAGTGCAAGCGTCGGTTCGGAGAGTCAAAATAGAAGGGGAGCTTGTCCCGAATCTGAATCTGACGGGTTGGCAAACGCCCTCATGCCGCACAAAGCACTAGCGGTTCCGAGTCGTGACCAGAAACGGAGACAAATTTGAGCTAAAGAATATTCGGGAACGAGCTCCGAAACCGAGAGTTGCAAAGTAGGACGCCGGTAGCTCTGCATTGCTTGTCGCGGCTATCCCAAAGGAACGAGAGTGGATATTTGTTTTGTTGGAAGCCACGGGGTGCCCTACAACAGCATGAGAGGAGTGGCGTCAGCTTCTCGACACCTTTTTGATAGACAGAGTTCAGTGTGCTTCGAGGGGCATTGTGGTCGGCACACTTTTCCAAAGCATACTGAACGCTTGAGCTTTGACGGTACCTCTGCCGGCGGATGCGACCAGATGAAACGACATTGATCGCACCGCGGAACAGGCGAGGCTTATCTTCAGCTCTCGTTAAGCTTTTGTGAACCGCCGAATGAGGACGAAGAGACAATCGCACGAGCGGTAGTAGAAGTACCGTCCTTATCGTCCCGAATTGTTCATTTTGAAGGGGAAATTCAGGTGGTTAGCACGGTACGGACACCACTCGAAGGACGGCAGGCAATGGAGCTGTGAAGGGCTTTCCAGTTTAGTACCCCCTGAAGAGCTCACGGGTGCCAATTACACTTCTACGGCGTGCACACGACTCAACGAACGGGGAATAGCCGACCAGCATTTGTAGACCCGCTAGCGTCAAAGCTGGAGTACGTTGATTTTCACTGTTGATGAGAGGCTTCTTGTGTCACACACCTACAAATTTGCCATGTAAAGACGGGATGCAGACAAGTAAGTACTTAGACCATCGTACCCTACACAATGCTACTAGGACAATAGATGTGTTAAGAATGCTTCATGCCGGTATGAAGTCGGCCTGCGAGAGGGCTGTCGTTCACGGCTTCAACAGTGTGGGAACTTCACCTTACGTCGAGCTACTGCCTAATTCGACGTGCAACAACGCGTCGTAGAGACGCTATCGTGCGACAACAGCAACGTCTACGACATGGAAAGATCGACTGCTCTCCTATCAGGGCGAGTTGTCTCACGGACGTGGAGCGCAGAGACAGGAGGAATCGTGGTGTCAGAGACGCTCTGAGCCAACTACTAGAGACTCACCAGTGCGTCAACAAATGAAGAAAAGCCGGCTGTGGTGCAATCTCACGATCAAATAACGAGGCGAAGTTATCTTCGCCACCACGAGACGTCGAAATGAAGTCGGCTCGTCATAGTTTTCGTTTTCTTCCTGTCTCCTCTTTTGTTTCCGTTCTTACCATTCGGTTCCCTTCGTGGCATTGGTGCGGCATCGTAATTCGTGTCGTTTCTTGTCATCGCAGGAAGGAAGTGCCCCATGAGTAAACGGTCCCGATCGTAACGCCGAACTCGTAAACCACCAAAAGACAGTCGAACTGGCCACCCTCGTCGTCAATTGAGCACGGAAATATGAGGCTTCACGCCATACAGAAGGAGGCATGATTGCTGTCGATGTAGGTGTCCATGTGAGAGCGCGCCATCGTCTGAGGATTGGACGCTGACGCTCTTGTACAGCAACGGATCACCAGTCTTTATATGTGTGAGTCCACCGTAGGGGCTACAGAAATTATGTGGTAGCTTCGAGCTGCCAAGCATTAAACCAATAACTTCCCAGTGGTCGTTGCGAAGGTATGTGCAGGAGCGCACTGTTTTCCTTCCTCGACTGCTAACAGCATGAAAGAGGACGTTCCAGCTTGTTAACGAAAGATTGAGAACTAGGACTCCGTAGGGCATGCTCATAACAAATCAATGGGGTCGTATCAAAACGAGTCAGTCAGCAAGCAAGAACTTGACCGCATACGGGCCCGCAGCTTTGAGGAATGTCGGATAAATGCATGAGCTGAAAGAGATCCAAACCTACAAACTAGACGCTCTAGAAGAAGAGGTCGAGTAAGAAGTGCAGGCTACCCCCAGGCCGTCTCCGCACTTGGAAACCTCGTGCCGTTAAGCCCAGCAAGATACCATGGTCCACTCGCTACCTATTGTATAAATCTTCCGTGTCGAACATTGATGGAAAGTATGTGGTTGTAAAGATCGAGTCAAGGTCCGAGGCTGTTGTGTCGAACCCTTTGTGATGGCCAACAACAACCAGTCACCTTACATCGCCCATATCTATTCGTGTAAATCGACTCCAAGCCGTCGATCGATTACAGCGAACATGGTGTCCCAAACAGGGAAATGCGTTCCGTGGCTAAAGATCTGGAGCTCTAACGATAATTCCAGGAACACTACAACCGATAGCACCCGTCGAGCTGCCGTAACATGGTTGATGGCAACATCAGATCACGTATACGTACCGAGAGTCAACTATCTTTGTCGTCGTAAGAGCAAACGCTGGACTACGAGGTCAAGCATCAACGGTGCTAATTTACAGCTCGTCAACCTGATCCGAAGCTAAACTACTCGTGAGCAGCGATCGTGGGCTTTCGTTTGTGTGCCATACAAGCAGAAGCGAATGATTTTGCATGGCCATTCCACTGCACAACGACACGTGTCGCATGCTTGTGCGACCAGATTAAGTAACATTATGGCATGCCGTCGTCGGCTTAGACGCTTAGCACATCTTCGCAGACTCGTCGGAGCTCTGGAATGATTACCTCCGCAGCGTCCCTGTGGCTCATTAGGAAACCCATCTCCACCTCCAAATCCACCAGAACCGCTCATGAAACTGTAGTCCGCCGCTATAAAACCGAGCATTGCTCCAGCTCTTTCTGCTTCATGTCGCTTGAGCAAGCCGGATATAGCGGACGACGAGTCAGTGTGCCCGTGCGCAAAAAGATCGGACACATGCGCTCAGAAAAATGTAAGGCGACTAGTAACGAATCTGTTAGCTGACTATGTATGCTGCTTGATGTTTGTCGATATTGAGCGAGTCCGCTTGGGTCTCCGCTCGACGTATGTATATTCCCCACACGGTGGACATGATCCACACACTTACGAAGGACGGCTCCGTTATTGCTTCTGGATAGGCCCCGTTTTCCGATTCTGACGCTTCTGCTATATGAGCCCATCGATTCAATACATCGCTTCAACCTCGCGTCCCACTTGTCGTGGCCTTGTTAGCTTTGTGGGTCTTACGTCTCAGTTGTACGAAGAGCTCATGCTGAAATGCGCTTCGATAGACAGCGTTAGCCGCTCCACGTTTGGAATGATACTGACCGCCCAGTTTCGCAGAAAGTATCGATTGCATCGAACGAACCAGAAGTGTGGGATTCTTCCAGCCACGAGACAGTGCTCGGGCAAAATCCGTAATTTTGACCTGGTTTCGCACCCAGCAATCTCATCAAGGGCTCGGAAGAGCAAGGGGATGCGGGTACTGTGCAATGCCGCCTGCATGGATCACCTGCTTGGTACGCGAGACACCTCGCACGCATCCGGCTATAGCAATTCGATCGGATCAGCCTAGAAGCGAGCTCGTGAGCATTCCAAGGGAACCTCCTTTTTTCTAGATCGTGCTCCGCACAGCCCATTGGCACTATCGTGTCCAAAAGACAGCTAAGCCGCCCGTCCGACAAAGCGGAACCTTATCATCTTTTGCACTAACGTGCGCACGACCCTTCGTCGCACGTCACCTACGTAATTTAAAGGGATCGCCGTCGGGGAGATGGAAGTAGTAGGGAGCTGCACATTGGTAGTGGGGCATCGAGCTAGCGCAATGATAGTGCATGAACTAAGTGCTCGCAGGGCACAACTGTAACTCCTTGTGGGCTGAATTCTGACGGTCTCCAACTAGATGAATCCAGATTTGCCTTGCCAATATCCTACACTCAAACCGACCCTACAGAGGTGCATCTCCCATCTGCGATCCTGACGTTTCGGGCTCGATACTACGTGGATGCCGCTCATCAATTGTCACCACAGAACCTCCAATTCGATCCGGTTTGCGGATGCATAGATCGTTGAACGAGTATGGTGACACCGTAAATTGACGCCCCAGGCAGGAGACATGTGATCGATACGTCCTCGACCAGGTCTGCGATTACCGCTGAACAAGCTCCTCCTACTC